ACATGAAGCAAAGCGCACCATAATTTGTATACAAAAGCGGAGCAGTGGAAAGGGGGGGGGGGGCTACGGCAATGACAGACACAGCAGCAAAAGGCGAAGAAGAAATGTAGACAAGTCAATAAATGGGGCCGTGGCCAGGCGGCTGCTGCCAAGTTGAATAGAAGAGAATGAAACAACCCCACAGAAAAAAAAAACAGAAGCATGGTTGGATGCATGGATGCATGGATGGAAGGATGAATGGATAGGCACTTGCGTTTAGCCAAGTCCTAATTGGAACTTACCTGCCTGCTGCATTCGCTCTTGCTCCGTTGCATTTTATAAAAATGTAATTGGCACACACAAGCACACACACACACACGGAGGAGAGTACAAGAGAGTGAATTTAGCTGAGATTGCTGCTCCTGATCACTAATACATGGCCACCAAGTGATCCTCTCTCTTTTTTAACAAGAGAGTGAGCTTAGCTTGTAAAGCTGCTGCTGCTGCTGCTGCTGATCACTAATACTAATACATTTTCACTATTTAGTCCTCTCTCTGCCTCTCTGTTTATTGCATCGAAATCAGGACAGCGTGCATAGTAGCAAAAGGGGCGCTGCCTAACAAAAGTGGAACACACGAAGCTGTTGCAGCGCGGACGGGCGGTCGGTCGCTCGTTTGGAGGGGTTACTTTGTGTGTGTTTGTAAAAACAATTTACAATACGCGAAAGGTGAGCGTCGTTTCAGCTCTGGCTCTAGCTCTCACCACCTTTGGTACGCCGCTGGCGCTGTCACCCCCGCAGCAGCAACAGCAATCCAAGTCGCAGTCGCATATGGCGGCCGCCTTTTGCGTTTTCGTTTGGTCAGCGCAAATATAAAGCTGTGGAAAACACTGTGTGATATTTGTATGTATATATTGTATTATTTGCGTACGTTTTTACTTTTTGAGCATACGAGTTTTGTTTTATTTGATTTTTTTGTTCAAAATGCGTCTTTTGCATACGATATATTGACGACGTTTTCGTATGTATTTGTATGTATGTATGTTGCCCGCCGACCGGTTTGTTTGCTACGCAGAATTTTCTTTTCCACTTTCTTTACGCCGCCCTTGCACTGTTTTTGTTATTGGATGTTTGGTTATTGGATTCGTATTTAATTATTTTCCGTTGCAACGTTCACTTTTTTTTCATTATTTACACAAAACGTACACGTTCGCCTTTCGCTTTTTATTACATTAATTATGCATTTATTGCGCCAATTAGCAACGTTCAGGCCCGAAATCGCCGTTCTCCTCGGAAGCAATAGGCAAGCAGTACGAAGACAAAACAAAAACCACGAGAGCAATGTGAACGTATGCGGGTAAATTAGAAATACCAAAACTTCAAGAGCTGAAACATAGCTATTCAATTCATATTTTTAGTCATTTAAAAATACCAACAATAAATCATTCGTTTGTTAATCAGAAAGAAAATATTGGGGCACAATATACTTTACAGTTCAAAATTCTAAAAATGTAATACCAATTGCTGTTATTTTTTTTTTTAAACAAATATCTTGTCTTTCATTTTGCGCTCATTCAATATAACTATCGATAGGCTAACCCCAAATATCGATGACAGCAGAGAATGCAGGGAATCGTAAGTGTCCAGCTCTAAGCAACAACAACTCTAGTGAAAAGTCGGCAGAGAAATGCAACGCCAAATTAACTAAATTTGTAGCGAGAAACAACACAAAAGCCCACAAAAGGCACACACAACAGAGCCACAGAATATCGGCGGAGAACATCAGGAAACGAGCTGACACAAGTATTTAGCGACCATCGGCGGCTGGCGAAATTTAAATGGCCAATGGCAATGGGAACAATATCAATACGGACGATGCTGCTGCTGCTGCGACGGCTGCAACGACAACAGCACAAGAGCAACAGCACCTGACCGGCGACGGCAGCGGAGCCTGCGGCGATGTAAAGCTGCCAGCAAGCGCGCGCGGAAGCAACGTTAACGATTTGGTCGCTGACTTGTGGCTGAATGGCAGCGGGAACAGCAGCAGTCGCGGCGACTACACAAATATCCGGGCCACAACTGGCGCAGCAGCAGCTGCAACAGCGACCGCAGCGGCAACGGCAACAACAAGTGCGACACTCAGCTCGAATGTTGGCTCTTCCACCTCCACATCTACGTTTTCCTTTAAGCACTTTCTCAACAGCAGCGGCACAATAATAGCGCCAAGCAGCACAGTCACATCCCTGGATCCAGCGGTCGGCACGGGCGGCAACAGCGCCGGCGGCTGTGGCAGCAGTAGCAGCAGCACAAATGTATCTGCGACGGCAACGTCAACGTCGCTGCAAACGTCGACGGGCGCACGGCCGAAAGTGCCGCAATCGGCATCCGTTAGCCACATGCAGCCGGATTTGAATGGCAGCGCCGCCTCCAAAATGAAACGTTCGCCGCGTTTTAGCTCCTTTGACTCGCAGGCGAGTCTGGCCGAGTATGCGGCATGTGGCGGCGGCACCGGCAGCGGCGGTAGCTCTAGTTCCGGCACGCGTTTACGTCCGGACCTGCGTCTCGAGGTGGAACGCAGTGGTGTTATGTTAGATTGCGACGACGACTATGATCATGTGGGCCTGGCCCAAGTCCGAAACAGTCGCCTCTACGATGAGCGCGCCGATGATGGTGAGTAGCTGCCAACAGTAAAAGGTTCTTCTAATATCGCTTTACATGATCTTCTCTTTAGACATATTTCCATCGGCTGCCTCCAATTTGCACGCGGCTGCAAGCAGCTCGCGTTACGTGCCGCGCTCCTATTCCAGCTATGATATGCCGCCGCAAGCTGCTTGCGCCGCAGCATCGCCCCGTCGTCGCGCTGCGTTGCGTCCGAATCGATTGGTTCTGGCCTCGGCGGCCAAAATGAAGCTCGATCTGCCGCTAGACGCGTCAAACGTGGCTGGCGCCGCATCGGCTTTGCCGGACTTTGTGCAGGATCATTTGCCGGACGCCTGGTGTCAGGAGGCGCATCTCAGCTCGCCGCCCAATTCGCCACTGGGCGCTGCGGAGGCGCCCAGCTGCAGCGGTGCTATGGGCGGTGGGGCCCTGCTATTACCCGCCGCCGTGGCCGCTGGCCTGCCCAGCGTCTCGACGCTATCAGCGACTGGCGGCGAGGCTGCTGGCTCGACGGGTAAAATGCTGCCCGATTTTCTGTCCGACGGCCCCATCCTTCACTCGTCCCAGCGTCTGGCAGATGTAGCTATTGGGCTGCCCTCGAATTCCATAGACTCGCCGCCGCAGGAGGCCGATGGAGGCACGTCCACGCTGCGCCAGGAAAACGAGCGACTGCAACGTGAGCTGCAGGAGATCCGTGTCGAGCTAAATGTTCAAACGCGTCGCGCCCAGGAGTTCGAACAGCAGCTGCTGGCACTTGCCGATGCGCGACGGCGCGAAACACTGGCAGCCACGGCCCAGACACAAACTACGCAGCGTCTGCGGCGTCAGGTGGCACAGCTGGAGGTGAATTTCTCTGAATTCTCGATCATAGATACAAAGTCTTATATAATTTAAAATCTTTTTAAGGCGGAGCTTTTTGAGCTGCGCGGTAGCAGCGATCAGGTGTCGGGTGGTGCAGCAGCCGCAGCCGGTGGGGCATCGGTGATGACGCCAGGCAGCAGCCACAGCAGCAGCAGCAATACATCGCGTCCGTCCAGAACGCATCAATTGTCGCGCGATTTGCTGCGCGCCGCCGACAATGCAGAACAGAATTTGAGGTGAGTGTTTCGAGAGTTGGCTACGACCACTTTCAGAGCTATACTCTTCCCTTCTCTCTTTCTCTGTCTCTCTGTGCCACAGGCAATTATTGGCGGGCGTGGATAATCTACGCCAAATGGCTGCCAGCCTGGAACAGCCCGCGGCGCCAGCAGCCACGCCCCGAAGCCCCAACTCTGATTCGTACACCGACTTTAATTAGGCAAAGAAGCTTGTTTTGGGTGCAGTTGTTGTTGATGCTGTGTGTGCTTTTTACTCAAATTGATTCAGTTTTGTTATTTGTAAGCCGCCCAACCTACGCCACCTAGCGCTTGTTTTTAGCAACCGAAAACCTTTTTATATCGAGCTATATATTCATACTATATCTATATACAAATAAGTGTATTGTGAAGGATCCGAATTGGAGGCAAACGGCGATGGGAGCATCAAAGCGCAGACTCGTGATGTTGATTGAATTACCGGATATATAAATTATACTATAACAAAGTGTAGAATATATTTTAATTTTGTTGTATAAAAAAAGCAAATGTTTATAAAAAATTATCGAAAAATCGAAAATAATAATTGTAAATTAGTGCAAAATGCAAGATCAACAAATAAACTAAACACACGGCACAGTTGCATTTCGAAATGCATAATTTAATAATATTGAATTAAATCTGCTAACAAGGGAATTAATAAACAATTAAACGGTAAAAACTGCAGCAAACACTTTGGATCACAGAATCCATATATTTATATATTTTGTTAAAAACAAAATTATATTTAAATAAATAATAGAGAACAAGAATCTGTGCACTTGTGTTCGTAGTTTGTGCTTCAACCAACAAATGAAATAAATTTCTGAGCAAACAAATATACTTTCTTTTTAATTTTCATAAACTTTGCTTGAGCATTAATTGGGGTTAGATCAAGATATGCTGTTTAATCGAAACAGATCTTGTTATTTATATGTAAGAATAAATAATTTCCACAACTATCAAGAAAAAGACTTGTGGAAAATGAAAGCTGAAAGTGAGAGTACATCATGCATAACATTATGTCATATTTTCCTCACTTACCTGTAAGACATTGAGAACCCACAGAGATCCCAGCCTTGACATTGTAGAGCGTCCAATAGATAAGACATCTCTGTATAACACACACACACACACACACACACTCTCTCTCTCACAATCTCTCTTGCGCTCTTTCATTTTCCAGCCGATTGGGGATTGTTTACTATTCCAGTGACAGCCGGGCGCTGGATTTGCATTTCATTTTGTTCAGTTGGGGTTTTGACGTCGTTACGCGCGGTCCGATTCCATTTGATTCGTGCGAGATCGGCGGCCAATAACAGTTTTATTATTTACAGTTTCCAGTGCAAAAGCAAAATTGTTAAATTCTAGACAAGTAGACACATTAATCAGGAAGTGTAGCATTAACTTGCAACATTTGCATTAACATCAGGAAATTCACAACTGTAGATTATTACAGAACAGTCAACATGATGTCGAAGAGAATATTGGGTAAGTGAAAATGTTGCCTTCTAGTATATATAAATAATTACTTTGTAGAGATACACCTACGATTGTGTTCATCACAGTTAACGTTAAAGAATTTTTATTTAAAAAAACCGACTCTTAATTGCCTTTCCACCCACAAGCAAAGAAAAGTGGAAAACAACATTTGCACATTTCACCCGACAAATTTTGATTATCTTTAATTCGAAATTTTATTTTTAGAACATGTCTATGTGGGGCAAATTCGTTCTTATAATCACATAATTGGACTATACTGTTAATATTTTATGCCCTTTGTGATGCCCATAAATTATAACAGTCTTATCAATAAATATATTTCTTGTTTTGAACAAATTTCATCCAATTTTCGAGCAACCTGACAGAATAAATTAACTGTGAAAATATTCTTTACATATTGTTAAATAGACATAGACACAATGTATGCAAAAATTATGGAAAACAAAATATTTAACAAAATTTAATGTGGTTTCTAGCTAATTTTTCTTATTTTCCACCCAATGCTTATTATTATTTCTATTATTTCTATACCAAATCGTATGCCTAGTTTGTAGGGTATAAGCTCAACTTTTCATTAAAATTCATTCAAATTCAACTTTAATAGAAATGTTTGTCGACCTTCCGCACACGACGGCATTGCCCGACCGATTGGAAACTGCGCACATAAATACGGAACGTGATATGAGAATAACCGAATACCCTGCAATCCCTGCAGCACCAGGTCTAATCACGCCGGCTCGCGTGGACAGCGTGCGATAAGGCGCCGTGGCTGATAATTTGGCAGGTGCTCTTATTGTTGTTTTTCATTGATAAGAGAGCGAGAGATATGATTGCACTTGTCCGGGGGGTATCGCATCTAATTACTTTTATAAATTGTTACCTTAGGACATGTTGCCGTGTGTACACTACAGTAAAATAATCGAATGTTCTTTTATTATACCCTTGCTGCTCACTAAATATAAGTATTTATAATTCGAATAGATTGATAAACTAAACGTCTAGTTATCTATATGAACTGTTTAAGTTTGGAAGTTAAGTTTATGACATTTTATATAACACATTTTAACATATCCAGGAATTGAATTTAATGGAATTCTATCAAAAACTTTACAATTTATTAAATGTTGGCAAGAGTATTAGAAAGTTGGCAATCTTTATTTTCATATTGATTTAAGCACAGAAATCTGAGTACTTTAAACTCTATAAAAGTGTTTAAATGAATTTAAATTTTAAGATTTAATAATATTAATAATTTAAAAATTGTATCTATCAAGCGTTCTTTAACGTAAAACTCATATTTAAAAACTTTAAAATTTTATATAGTTTTATAAACATTTTGGCAAGGGTATTAGATAGTTGGCAATCTGTACTTTCTTATTGATTTAAACACAGAAATCTGAGTACTTTAAACTCTATTAAAGTGTTTAAATTAATTTAAATTTAAATTTTAAGATTTAATAATTTAAAAATAATTTAAATAATTTAATTTATCAAAGGGAATTAGATAGTTGGCAATCTGTACTTTCTTATTGATTTCAACACAGAAATCAAAGTACTTTAAACTCTATAAAAGTGTTTAAATGAATTTAAATTAAAAGATTTAATTAAATGCAATTGTTTAAGGAACTTAAGACCGCAGAAATATGTGCGCATTAATCAACAATTGAGTCAAATTACGCAACAATAACAACAAGTGCAATTTCCCTGCAGCACCGCAGCCAGTTTTGTTGTGCACAACTCATTGAATATGCACAATGGCGAGATCCCATGACTAAGATATCAGACAGACCCCATATATAGCCAGATCGGCAACTGCGACTCAACCAGGTTCAACCCAGACAAATGGGTCTCGATTTCAATTTATTTAGCGGCTCCCCTCGTCCCTTCGCCTGGCGCTTGACCATTGTCAATTTGCATTCTCAAACGTTCCATTTATTTATTTATTTACGTATGAACCATGTTTGCTTAAGTTCATTTAAATATGTTTACTGAATGTCACGTGTTTTGAGTCCGTTGTCGTAAAGAAATAACGGCTCTCACGCTTGACCTACCTGAAATTATTACATCTTTCTAATGGAGATTTCTTATAAGATGTTTGTTTTTTAATGTGTTTTTTATTGGGTTTGTCAGCTATAGTTCATTAACTTTAAAGCTTGTCGATGCTGGATGAATATTTTAAGAATCTTTTATATAACAAACGGAAACCAATCGGAAACTCGGAACCTTATATACCCTCAAAATCATTTGTCTTACGAAGCCTTAGTGAAGCTCGCGAATGCTGAGTTTGATGAAAATATCTTGGAAAACATATTTTGACATACAAACACCTTTTTTTCGACCGATTTTTTCTATAAAGCTATAGTTAGTAATATAGTCAATCTTAATAAGATTTGTCACATAGTTTAAATAGTTAATGCTGTCGTTGGTCAAAATAACTTGATAGGTAAGAAGTTTTTTCATATAAGAACTGTATTATCGATTGATCGTTCCTTTGACAGCTGGTCCGAGATAGTTAAGATCTTGCCATGTTTGTTCAAGATATCTTGATGAACAAACAAGTTTTCTATACAACAACCTACATTACGACTGATCGCTTCTATTGTAGCTATATGATATAGTGGTCCGATCCGGCCGGTTCCGACATACGTACTGTCTGCAGCAGAAAGACAGAACTATGAAAAGTTGCAAGAAAGTGACAGCCGGACATGGCTATATCGACTCGGCTGTTGATACTGATCAAGAATATATATACTTTCAGAGGTCGGAGATGACTTCTTCTATGCGTCAAACATTTCATGGGTATAATATTTCGATAGTTTAGTTTCCTTTGTAACTTTATGGTCTACGAAAATATATATAAAAATCGGAACTAAATCAACATTTTTCTACGATTTACCAAAAATGTTAATATCTGGCTTAGAATGAGTAGAAAATTGGCATATAAATGAATAAATGAATCAAATTATAAAAACTGGGTTTGTTTTGAATTCTAATTGGAACCATTTGTAATTTGATCATATCTATTAATCAAAAATGTAATTATTTATACCATTATACCTGAAATTATATATTCCTAATAAAAAATTCCCCAAGTTCTCATACGAATGAATTAAAACTATATTCGCATCGACATTGTTTAAGAGAACAAAATAGCTAATGAGTTCCTGCTAATTGAGCTTTCAAAACGTATCCACTTGAAACTTATCTTGCTGCTTCTCTCTGGCTTACAGCTCAGACAACACGCCAGCTGATCCGCACCAGCTCCACATTGCACTCGAAGGCGGCGCCGGCGGTCATGTCGCAGCAGCAGATCGAGATGCCCGAATGTGAGCATCGGCCGGCGGCGTACAGTGGGCCCAGCTACGAGCAAATCCTGGAAACCCGCAAAACCCATCTGACGCCCAATTTAATGGCACACTTCAAGAAGCCGCTGGTCATCCACGCCGGCCACATGCAGTGGCTGTACGATCACGAGGGCCGTCGCTATCTGGACATGTTTGGTGGCATTGTTACCGTCTCCGTGGGCCACTGTCATCCGTAAGAGATCCATTTTATTCGTCATTTGATCCATTTTAAAGGATTTACTCACCCTCCAGCAAAGTAAACCAGGCGCTGAGTGATCAAATCTCCAAGCTGTGGCACACGACGAACATTTATATGCATCCCAAGATTCATGAGTATGCCGAGCGTTTGACAGCCAAGTTTCCGGGCAATCTGAAGGCCGTGTGCTTTGTCAACTCTGGCTCGGAGGCCAATGATCTGGCCATGCTAATGGCGCGTCTTCATACCGGCAACCAGGATATCTTAACCTTCCGGAATGCCTATCACGGCATGTCGCCCTATACAATGGGTCTGACGGCACACTCCACGTGGCGCTATCCGCTGCCGGGTGTGAACAATGGCATCCTGCATGTCATGAATCCGGATCCGTATCAGGGCATCTGGGGCGGCTCGGCTTGCCGCGATTCGCCCGTGCAGACAACGCGCAGCTGCAATTGCGCGCCCGACGATTGCCAGGCGGGCACGAATTACTACAATGAGCTGGAGCAGACGTTCAAGTACTCGCTGCCCCGTGGCAAGGTGGCCGCCATGTTTGCCGAGTCCATTCAGGGCGTCGGCGGCACCGTGCAGTTCCCCAAGGGCTATCTGAAGCGGGCGGCAGCGCTGGTTCGTGCCAATGGCGGACTCTTTGTGACGGACGAGGTGCAAACTGGCTTTGGCCGCACGGGCGACCATTTCTGGGGCTTCCAGGCGCACGACTACACACCGGACATTGTCACCATGGCCAAGGGCATTGGCAATGGCTTCCCTCTGGCCGCTGTCGTGACAACGCCCGAGATCGCCGCCTCGCTGGGCATGGCGCTGCATTTCAATACGTACGGCGGTAATCCTATGGCCAGCGCCGTGGGCATAGCCGTGCTGGACGTCATCGAGGAGGAGCAGCTGCAGCTCAACTCCCTGGAGGTGGGCACCTATTTCCTCAAGTGCTTGCAGGAGCTGCAGCAGCGCTTCGAACTGATCGGCGATGTGCGCGGCAAGGGACTGATGATTGGCGTCGAGCTGGTCAACGATCGTGAGACGCGTGCTCCGCTGGCTGCGCCCCATGTGCTGGACATCTGGGAGACGTGCAAGGATATGGGTGTGCTTTTCGGTCGCGGTGGTCTGCATGGCAATGTAAGTTGTGGCTGTCTGGCAACGTCAAAATATTTGTGTGTCCATATTAAGTTGGCTGCGCCTGAATATTGTGTGTCCATGTTAAGTTGGCTGCGCCTGAACATTTCATCAAATGTTTCATCTGTGTATAAAATCATCTTTCGGGCTGCCTATTGTGTTTTGTTTGTCCATTTTAACTCTTCCATAAGATTCTACACAAACTAATCAGTATTATGTTTATGTTCCCTTCTCTGTTCCTATCCCTTTCTTCATGCATCTCTGTATCGAATGTTGTACCCACAATTCATTGCAGGTGCTCCGCATAAAGCCGCCCATGTGCATTAACCGCACCGATGTCAGGTTCGCTGTGGATGTTCTCGGCCGAGCCATAGCGGATACATTGGCCAAGCAGAAGTAGATATCGAAATTCAGATTGAAATTGGCAATTAACTAGAGGAAGAGACTTTGCCATTTGAGAATGCATTTATAGAATAGCTTTACGTTCAAATTCATTTACGTAATAAAGAACAAATTGAAGACTTGTACCGTAAATATCTTAAAACTGGTTCGATTTTCCAATATATTTACCTCGGTTTCGTCTATTTGGAATGCGTACTAGAATATCGTTAACATATCATATAAGTAAAATATGCACAGCATTTTAAAAAACACCATGATCTAATTCGTAAACACTTTGGGTTTATTTTCCTAACTCATGCTCATACGCCAGTTTCCTAACTTCAAGTATGTATAATCTTATAATCTTATATTCCAATCTTTTGTTTAATTAATTGCTTAACAATTGACTTTACTTTATTCATATAGGTGCTCAGCTTTAGGCCGCCCCTGTGCCTCAATTACGAGGATGTGGAATTTACTTTGCATATTTTAGAAACAGTTTTCGTGGAGCACATGAACAAAAGGCCACGCAGCTGGAGAACAATAACAACCAGAAGTCGTGGCAATCACTAACATTTACAATATTTTATATAATATTTATTACTTAACATAAGATCAAAATAATTGAGCTGAATTTGAGAGCAGCTTAGAGAGCGCAAATCGAATTGAAAAGCAGACTGTGAGCATTTTACATTCCAATGACACTGAGCGAGGCTTCACCTTAAATGTAGTTATTTTTAAAATTGTATATATATAAATGTATATATATATTGTATATAGATATTTTAGGCACAGCATTTTCATTTAAGAGAGTTCGATCCTGTTTTGGCAAAGACTGTACAATAGTTGAACTCTCGCAAGTATTTGCGACAATTCATTTAGCATTTGGTATGTTTTTTTGTTTGCTTCTAAATTTCTAATTTAATTTGTTAACAATAATTTAACTCATTTTGCAAATGCAAACTATGTCTTAACACTATTTAACACAATTCCTATTCGAATCAGCAGACGCCATCGTCAGCGGGTGTTGTTGTCACTTGTGGCTCAGGCAGGAGCCCGATCTCCGTTGGCTAGACCTGTATATCAATGGGTTTGCCATCATTGATGTAGTCCGACGAGAGCAACGTTTCCGACAGCTCCTTGCGCGCCTTGTGCACCACCCAAAACATCAGCGCGAGACCACAAATTACCTTAAGTTCATAAAAAGAATATTAAATTAACTAGAACTTATGTTTAGAATTTAAAATATAACTATTAACTTGCATTCTATACATTGCTAGCATTGCTTATTAATTAAAATATGACTAAGTGTATAGATTAAGATACAATTAGAATACATTGCATACTTTTAGGCGGTGCGCGAATATTAGAAAACTCTTTATAAATCTTGAAAATGTCATTCCCACTGTGAAGCAGAAAAAAGTAAGCAACGCAAAAAGCATTTCCTCATCCTTTTGACTGAAATTAAAGCCCAATAAAAGGGCAAGCAGCGAACTAATGCACTTTGCGCAATCAACCATCAAAACAAGCCCTGGAAAATTGTTAACTTAATTTGGCACGCAAGGCATGTTAGGTGCAGGTGCAGGTGCAGTTGCAAGGCAAACAAAAATCAATAAGTCTTAGAAAGCCAAACAAAATGGTTGCAAAGCGTCTTACACAAGGTTAACAAATATATATATATATATGTACTACAATGCAGCTCACCTCGATCACGAAGCTAATGTAGCCCGTCAATTTGGTATTGTGATCATTGAGCACCTCGTGCATGGAGCGCAGCGTGGAGCCAAGATAAACATTTATTGTTTGGGCGGGCAACAGGCCCAGAAATGTGGCCAGGTGATAGTCCCGCGCCTTAATCGAACTGATCTGTAAAGAAAAATGGATTGAGAGTGTGTTAATATGGATAGACCATGTCCAAATCGGATCGCACCCGGGCTTTCAATTTGATGTTGACCATAAACCGAACCCCATTGGGCAATAAATGTAATATAAAATATATATATTACTCAATGATTGAACCCTTATCTTTACCAGATACTGAAAACAGAGCGCAGTCGAACGAAATATTTTGCTTAAAAGTAAATAACTTGTAAAATTCAGCCCCTTTTTGGGAAAATATACCCCTTGTGGGTGGAAAATGAAGTACAAAGATATTCCAAGTTTCGTTCGTTGAAAGCCCTACATTAAAATTGAATGAACACCTATTTCAGTGATTTTTGATATTCCACTCGCAGCTGTGGAAAATTGGCGGTTCTGAGCAATATTTTGCGAGGATTGCACGCGTAAAATAAAGATGTCTTAAAGATAAGAAAAAATCTAAGGCCGCAAAATAACAGCTAGTATTATTTAATAAAAATGGAAATCGGCAATTCTTTAACCAAGGTTAAAAATGATTAGGAAATTATCAACGCATTTCAATCAAAAAATATTATTTAATTTAAAGAGAGCTAACGCTCTACATTCATTGACTTTGTGTCTCTTTTATTTACTTTAGAAATTGTGCCGTATTTGAAGATTGAGCAAAACCAGTTTTTACAATTTCAAGTTAAAATTCTCATTTACCTTTCAGCTGGACTTTAATTATTATTATTTATTATGGTTGGCAACAGCAGTTGTTGTTCTTGTGAGAAATTGAGCGCAAATGTGACTAATGCGTCATTATAAAGTGTGACTATTTGCAATTCCAATTCTTAGGTTGAATTCAACACGGATATACTTTGTTACAAACGCGGCCCTACGAAACTGAAATAACTTGGGAGCTTTACGTAATTCGTTCGACCTATTTTGTATGTGAGACATGTGAGAAACTTCTCTGTGGACGCATTCGAAATACGTAAACATCAGAAAAACTGAATAAATATATACACAAAAAAAGCGCCACACAGATGCAAACAGACGCTTGACTATACCGATTGTGTATATATGTATATATATATGCGAGTACATAAGTATACGCATTAAGTATAGACATATGTTCGGCCCTGACTGATAGTCGCCAATAAAAATTAAACTGAAAGTTGTAAAGATAATCGCGAGCTGCCTTCCAGCTCAGGTCAAAGACGAAACAATGTTCGAGTTCGAGCAACTCATTCGATACGCTTTCTGAATAACTTGTCAAAACTTTAGTAGATAAATATATCTATGCATTTAGGGTAGGTTTATCGGTATCAGACTATAATGTATTTGACTTACTCCAAAGATGACATTTTGCAATCCAAATGGAATCGGCGTTAGACGCGTAAAGAGCACCACCCGAAACGCCTTGGGTCCAGATATAACGCGCAGTATAGCTCGTCCAGTCTCATTTTTGATCAGTCTGAAAATAGCATCGCGCAAAAATGAAGCAATTAAAGAAATAAGAAAACAGCTATAAACGGCAGGCCGAAACGAAAATACCCTTACAAATGTGTACATTGCAAGTACTATAATTGAATTCCGAGAAACTGCCAGAACAAGTTATAAAGAATACAACAAAAAACAAGTTAGAGGTTCTAGTCGGGAGCTCCCGACTAGGGGATACCCTAAACCCTCTTCCTCCAACAGGCGATAGCTAAAAAAGGAAAGATACTTGATATATATATATACTATTCTAGAAGCTAAATGTCAAGTTTGGTGACTCTAGCTCTTATTATTTACCAAAATTGCCCAGTAAACAGGATTTCGATATCGATTTTTATCGATTACTTGGGAAAGGGTCAAGATATCGAATATCGGAAACAAACTCGATCTGCGCGGGAACTAGGAGGACCTGCAGCTAAACCTACAGAACGACAGACGGACGGACAGACAGACGGCTATAGATGCTGATCAAGAATATATATACTTTATGGGTTCGGAGATGCTTCCTTCTGCCTGTTACATACATTTGCACAAGTACATTATACCCTGTTTACCCATTTTTAATGGGTTCAGGGTATAAAAAGCACAGTCTTCTATAGACTATAATCATATTTGAATTATGGTAATTCATCTGGCCAGGTATCACATAGGCTATACTCTTTTTAAATAAAAATCCTAATTATTTTTGAACTGGTTATGCTGTAAATCGTAAGTGAAACCAGTTTCAATTGCATTCTACGTTAACTGTCTTCAAACTAGATTAGCCTAGTCAACCACTTTCGGGCTTCTGGTACAGTAAATACCCCCATATAAATGACACTTAACTTATTAGTGTTCACCTTTATGATTTACGTTACGCATGAATGCCCAACTTTGGTTGGGCACCTATCAATTATCGAGGTATGTGTGTTTATACAGGTAATCAGAGTTCAATTCGAGTCAATCAAGTGCCGAGGCCCGTCCGTAAACCAGTTTAGCACCAAATACCCAAATTAACGGGCAACATTTTCGTCATTTAGTGGCCAGGCCTTAATTTATGGTTACCTCATTTGTTACCCATTTGTCCGATTCGATGTGCAGATAGTTTCTGCTATTGATAGCTAGCACGTTTCGTTACTCAAATATCAATAAATGCGACTCATAATTATCATAATTAGTTATAATTGGTCGCACGGCACACGCCCAGCAATTCATTTCATCAAATCAATGTGGAAATTGTGTAGAACTGTGAACAAAAAATAATATGCAACTCTTGTGTACGCCCATATCTCATTTCCGCTCTATTTGGTGTCTTCCGTGGCAGTTAAAAATTGACAAACGCTAAGAGTGCTAGAGTCGAAAATACCCTGTATGTGAGATTTCGAATGTATATGATAAACTAGCAGGTATTGCCCGGCCTTGCCCGTGGAGTTTTTTTGTGCTAAGAGTTTTTGGATATTACTTGTCCACTAAGTACACACCCGTGGAAAATTTAAATGTACCCATCTTGATCTCCATTTCTATTTAAAAATATGCTTTAAGTGCATCGAATAAAGAGCCAGGTATTTGAATCAACGGCTTCATGTTAGTCTTTTGGGGAAAATCTTGAAGCGAAAGAATAAACTTTCGTTTATTAAACCTTTGACCCGCATTTGCCACCCAAGAACGTAACAAATAAATTCTCACAGAGATCTTTTAATATGATTTTGAAGCCGATCGGATAGTAAGCAAAAGTTTCATACAAACGTTTTTCGCGTTTTTTCCATACAAGCGGGTGGAATTTCCCGAAACCCCGTCTTAAAGTGCACTTTCATCTTATAAGGTAAATAGGCTGTGCGTTGATCATCAATCAGTCAATCAGTCAGTCATTCAGTGACTCAGTCAGTCATTCAGTCAGTCACAGTTTTATATATATAGATAAGTAAGCCACATAATATCCAGAATTCTTATATAATAGATGCTGAGTTCGGATAGCAAGGTGTATATGAATATAGGTATTTATATTAATTAAGTGAGCAGGGCAGGTAAGTGCAAAATGTCTGCTCTATTAACCTAATAAACCTGCTCACATATACCCTTTGTTAACAATTTTAGGCTATTTAAATTTGCCATAACAAATTTGTTTACGAAATTTACCTTTGCAGGGTATTCAAATGTACCTTAACAATTATTTTATTGACATATTGCAATTATTTCAACAAACTTTGAAATGCAGGCAAAGAAACATACGTAATTTCTACTCAAATGGCTATTTATAACAGTCTATAAAGCGCTTTTTTTATTGACTGATAAAGCAATTGAACCATGGAGCAATTGAGTTGGGTGCGGGAGCCAATGCATGGAAGCGTTTTACAATTTGATAAGGCATATATTTATATATGTATATAGAAATGTATAGAAATATAGGAAAGCGCCAAGCAATAAATTTAGGGGGTTTGCTTGTAGCTATACGAAAACTAAATTAACTTATTTATTTAATTATTTAATGTATATTTCTGATCATGCGGGTTGAGCCAGTCAAGCTTTGTATACTCTGTACGCGTAGGCAAAGAGAGTATATTGTTTTATATTTCCCACATTTGTAGGCCCAGCTACAAGGATTAATATTTTCTATCGCATTCTCTTAACGTTTTTTTATTAATATTTCCCCTCGTTTATAAAAAATATAAACGCACATTTATAATAAATCGTTATTTAATGCCAACTAAAATATGGCAAACAAAAAATTTGGTAGCATTAACTGTCTTTGTTCTGTTGTTGTTCTTTTATCACAAATCCCCTTATCACATGCAATACGAGCTCATGCTCTGGGGCCGCTGGACACATTGATAGCTAAATGACGTACGTATTCGTCTATTTTGTTGAAATTGGAAACTGGGCTTGGTTGACACATTTAGTTGACCAAACTTTTTGAGATTGGGCGTTTTTTGGAGTAGCGCAATTCCTCGACATCGCGACTCTTGGACACGCATTCGCCCGTGAGTAGCTCCAGTTCGCGACCGTCGTTGATGTGAATGCAATCGTTGAGAATGGAGAGGACGCCTCGGAATTCCGGATAGGCCTGGAGGCAATCGTTTGGTATATATATGGATAGCTGCAGCGAGATCACGTTGCCGGGCATCAGATGATAATTGAGTAACTGGTCGCTGCTGTCCCCAAAGTCGAGGCCCACATGCCGGACCAAAGTTGAAAAACAGTTGAATCTAGCAACTGCCTTCAACAAGTCCGATCGTCGTATTAAATTTGTGGGCAGCACACGCAGCTCCTGGAGGTGCTCCGCCAACAGTATAAGATAGGCCGCGTGCAGTTCGCGGGGCGTGCGCACAACCGAGTTGGAGGTGCGGATCAGGAAGCAGAGCTTGGAGCGCATCTCGACCAGCATGTTATAGAGCATCTTCTGGGGCGGCTTAAAGCGTCCACAAATCGACCAATATCTGGCCAGGCCGCCATAGTAGCCGGCGTACTGACAGGATGCATCCATTAGCCAAATACTGCCGATGCCCGGCACCAGCCTGGGCTCATACGGCATCGGTTGATGCGCGTATCGCTGGCGGCATTTGTTAGCAAAGATCAGACCCAGCTGGCGCTCATCATGCTGCGCCTCGTGCTCGGCCATCAGCTCCTGCAGCGACTGAGCTGCTATGGAGTTGGCGCGCCTGATAGCGAGCAGTTCCCGCTTGGTCTTGAAGCTGCGCACGTGCTGCATCAAATGACGTGGACAATCGATGGGCAGCTTGAGCTGCTCGGCCACCTCCCTTATGACGTCACTCACCGGGCTGTTGTCTTGGGTGTACCACAATTTGGCGGTGACATACTGCAGTCGCTGCTGCAGCGTTTTCTTTAGGCTTAACAGTGAGAGAACCTCGTCCACATTGAAGCGCTGGCAGGCCAGCTCGGCCAGAGCGGGATCTATCTCCTCCTTCTCCAGTGGCTGGAAGAGTATGGTGCGCACTTCCAGTTGTCGATTGCGCATCACCAGGAGGACCACGCCCGGCAGCAGGCAATCGCATAAGTATAGAAACTCGGATTTCTGGCGAAACGGGTAGCCCGTAATGGCCTGGGCACCGGTCACGATCACAGCATGCGTATTGCCACGCCTTCGGTCCCTGTTATGATCCAGCCGATCCATGACTCGCCAGCGATGCAGATTGATCTCCTTCGGCACCATCACCTCGACGCGCTGCGGATCTCCCGTGAGATAGTCGCCGGTTGTCCACTTTGTTGCCAGCTGTTGTTGCCGCATCACGGGCAACGGCAACGGCTGCATTTCCTTCACAAAATCCGATGTATCGATGGTCGGTGGCGCTGGCTGCAGTATCCCAGAGATATTGTCGTTGCAGATTTGACTTTGAGGCAATAGCATGCTGGCCCATGCTCGAAAACCTTTGAATTTTGGTATTACACGCAACATAACTGACAAAATTAAAATAATACAGGTGCGGAATCAAAAACTAAATGTAAACTGCTTAAAATCAAACATTAATATAAAAATATATGTTTGTGAGAGTTAAGCATAAGCATGCGCAAGTGTGCTCGACTTGCAGATACCCTGTACCCAGCTTCGAGTTGAGTTTCTTGCCTCTGGCTCTCATAATCCCCGGTTTAAGCTTACAAAACCAGATCTGTTTATCGATATTTATCGATTTCGTGATCATTCATGTCAAAATGAGTGCAGCCATAAATATCAGCGTGACGGACAGACGAACATGTTCAGGTTTAGATAATTTTAACAACATAAATAAGCATGCGCAAGTGTGCTCGACTTGTAGATACACTGTACCCAGCTTCGAGTTGAGTTTCTTGCCTCTGGCTCTCATAATCCCCGGTTTAAGCTTACAAAACCAGATCTGTTTATCGATATTTATCGATTTCGTGATCATTCATGTCAAAATGAGTGCAGCCATGAATATCAGCGCGACGGACAGACGAACATGTTCAGGTTTAGATAATTTGAACAACAAATAGATTCAGTTCGTAAGTTAATTGCGCAATAACATGACTAATTATTCGAACTCCTCTCGTTGAGAACGCAATTTAAGTTATTGTCAACAAACATCTACTTTGTCAGGCACCTGCGAAAGTGGAAAGCGAGTTACATTCATTTGTGGGCAATTCTTGAACTATAATCTTAATAGTTCTGTCACATTCGCTATAATTTTGAGTGCTAAAGCTTCTGCAGAAATAAGTAAACGTAATGTAAAAGATAAATAGTTGACAGGCTCCTAAAGTCTATTATTTTATTTACCCTGAACATTTCTGGAGCCTGTTATAAAACAAGCGAGTTTGAACGGGAAAAGACACTGTCCACAATGCATTTGAAAGTTCTGCAATTGGCAATTGTCGCAATAGCATTTATTTCCAGCTCTACGGGTTCTGCGAGCTTGGAGCGAATTATCAATGGATCTGCGGCACAGCCAAAGGAGCTGCCATATCAAGTGTATTTCTATGCCTTTGTTGTACCTCTAGGCTGGGCAAAGAGCTGTGGTGGAAGCATAATTTCCCCGCGCCTAATTCTCACCGCTGCCCATTGCCTAAAGGGCGATATGTAAGTAGGTAATAGACCATATTTTAAATGGTTTAATCAGTTTTCTTTTTCGCCCTAAAAGCACTCACATTGATGTTTATTTTGGCGCGAATAATCTTACAAATATTGAGGAAAAAGGCCAACAACGTTTGCTTTTAGACATATCGCATGTGGTGCTCCACGAGGGGTACGATCCCAACACTTTTATAAACGACATTGCGCTAATCAAACTACCAGCTGATTTACAATTCGATGACTATATACAACCAGTTGCCCTGCCCGAAGATGATCTAACCAGCTACTCGCATCGGGCGGCAATTGCCAGCGGCTGGGGTTTGGTCGATTGTGAGTAAACTATTTAAAATGCAACATTTTAGACTGATTATGTGTGCAACCCTTTTATTTGCTAGTTGTTAATCGACGACGAACCGACATACTTCAAAAACTCGATGTAATGGTCATGTCCAATAATGAGTGCAGCGCTGAATTACTTAAAAGAGTCCCAGGCAAATTCTTTACGAGCTCATTCATATGTTTATTGCCGCCGAAGGGCACAGGTCCATGTAAGGGAGATTCTGGTGGACCGTTAGTTGTGAAGGACTCCTTTGACAAGCCTCTACTGATTGGCATAACCTCGCATTGCCCTGTCTATATGTGTGAAAAAGGTGTACCATCAGTGTACACACGAGTTTCATCCTACTTGGACTGGATCGAGCAGGCAAGAATTTATCAATGGTAAGAAAAAACCCTTCGTTTCAAAGTGTCTAATAAACAAATTTTCGATGACAGTTTATCAGTGCCAATTTCTGTTCTGGCCGAAATATATAATCATTTATGACAGTGTCAAGAGAAATTGAGAGAAAGTTAGCAAATCTGAAAATCGAGTAGATACAGGACATGGGTCCGTTTGTCAAATTGGGAGTACATAGTCTTGTATACCACAAACAGATCATGTTTCCTTTCAAACAATTTCACGCCATAACTCGATTAATATCGATTTTTAGACTATATATATTATATGTAACACGAAATTAAAAGAAGTAGATGATTTTATTGCCATAAATCGATTAATATCGATTTTCAGACAATATACTTTGAGCATAGCTCGAAATTAAAAGAAGTAGCTGGGTTTTTTGCCATAAATCGATTAATATCGATTTTCAGACTATACATTTTAGGCTTAACTTGAAATTGAAAGAAGTAGCTGATTTTATTGCCATAAATCGATTAATATCGATTTTCAGACAATATACTTTGAGCATAGCTCGAAATTAAAAGAAGTAGCTGGGTTTTTTGCCATAAATCGATTAATATCGATTTTCAGATTATATATTATAAGCATAACTCGAAATGGATAGAAGTAGCTGACTTTATTGCCATAAATCGATTAATATCGATTTTCAGACTACATTATAAGCATATCTCGAAATTAAAAGAAATAGCTGGGTTTATTGCCATAAATCAATTAACATCGATTTTCAACCTATATATTTAAGGCATAATTCGAAATTGAAAGAAGTAGCTAGGCTTATATTTTGCGAAGTATAATTAATATTTTAATTATTTTGTTGGCTGAATCGATGATTATAATTGATTAAAATAAAAAGTCGAAACAATTTAATTTAATATTTAGCTTCCAATATATTGCGGTTGGAAGTCTTTGGGGCAATTATTTTACTCGTCTGCGCTTTTTGACGAGGAGATTGAAATTAATATTATAAAACTGAATTGCCCGTTTTCGGATCAGCCCCATTTTTTGTTACTTACTTGTGCACGGATATGCGATGCCGACAGCTGCGTATTGTCGCATGGGCGATGGCTATGCCCACGTTTGCGCCGAGCATTACCGTTAGCCAGCCTCTCCAGCAGCCGAACAGGTAACCAGCAGTTATCAGCAGCACAAGGTAGCCGACGACAATGGGGAAGCTGACGAGTGTGAAGAGCGCCATAAAGATGACAAAGATTAGCCAGCGATTCTGTGTCTCGATCCAGAAGAGCAGCTCCTTGGCATAGTTGCGCGTCAGGTAGCCGGCAACCACGATAATGCCCAGCAGCCCAATGGGCACCAAATAGCTGAGATACCAGTTGCGCATGATAAAGGCGTGCGCGCGCAGCCAGCAGGAATTGCGACGCAGGTAGGAGGAGCAGGAGGAGCGATTGTGATGGCGTCGATTGCTTGCGCTGCTGACGGGACTTATTAAAAACGCATCACATTCGCTGCTCTCCTCGTTCGCAATCTCTGCACAGCTGTTGCCGTCGGCAACTGTCGCTGGGATGCACTCGCTGACGTCCATGTCACAACAACTACCGTTGGCTTCCAGGGGGTAACGCGTGCTTGTGCCGCTGTAGCTGTTGCTCTTGATCAGCTGTGGCGAGGCCAGGGATGAGCAGGAGGTGGAGGTTGAGCCGATATGTACCATGGAATCATCCATAATGAGGTTTTTGTATTTGTGCATGTGCATGTTAATGTTGTTTGCATATCTGAATGTGTTATTTTTATAGTTATTGTTGTTGTTGTTGCTGCTGCTGCTGTAGTCTGTGCTTAGTGCCAGTGTTGTTGTGGAGGCGCTCATTTTGGGCTTGCAATGTGCTAAAATTTTGTAACATTTACAGTTATTGTTTGTATATCCCGTTCCCCTCTCTGACACAGCTTATTGGCATTTCATTTTCTCTTTCACTTTGCATTGTTTTGTTGCTGTCATTCGAAGAAATTTCACTTTTACTTGCTGAACTGCTTGAATTTGAAATATGTTATATATAAATAGGTAATACACGTGCAATTTGCAAGTAGGCCGCCAAAGAAGAATTACTCTTTTTCACACACAAACAGCGGGGACTCAATTTACTTCAATAAACAAAAACCGTTTTTTCGTTTTTTGATTCAATTAACTAATAAAAACATATATAACTGGATCGCTGCCTAAAGCGAATTGTTTTGAAATTTATACACACTAGCAGTGCTAAAAAAAAAGCCAGCAGATAATTTAAAATGCAATCACAATTTGGTTTGTATTTACGAACTTTTTGTCGCACCAAATAAATAAAACGCCAATGCGCTGACACGTCCACCCACGGAGAAACAAAATATCATACTAAAAGCTGCAGTGTGACCAGAAGTCGTAAATGACAAAACATCAACAAATTTCAAATCCACAAAGAAAATTAAAATTGATTCGCCGAAGTTTGCATACTCTGTATTAAAAAATCTCGTTTGGTGCAGACAAAGACATTTTAACAATTTTTAAATTAAATAAACATTTAATTTAATAAACATTAATTATCAAAGTTTTTATAGAACAAGTGTATTCTGAATATGTGTGCTTCGGTTATTCCAACTCCTGATCGGAGGGTAGTTTCTTAGAGCTGCGTGACACGCACGCTATGCTCGCCGGATCCTGTAAGACAACCAGACGCAAAAAGGCCAAATTTAGAAGGAAGGCCTGACTAAGAAGCTCACGTTGATAACGCTCGGCCTTGGAGTACATAGTGCGCAGATTTGAAGGGAATTGCACTTGATTACGCAAATTAATCTGCTCGTCATGATCCAGTTGCTCTTCCATATTGTAATACGTGCGCATCATGCCCAGAATCGTGTCCTCAGAGGAAACGCGTTCTGTGCCCACCAGATGATTAAACAACCGAGCTGTGAGGAAACGACGCAGGTAAAAGAGATTTGTCTTGATTTCGCCGGGAGCAATGCGCGCCATCAGGGCATAACTCAGCATTGAGGTGACTTGGGCCTTCTGGATGTTCACATTCTGCTGATCAATGCTGCCGGGATTACTACTGGGCTGCGCCATTTGCGGGTTTTCCATTATATAGCAGTCTGCCTGGGGAATTTGATGCGCCACATAGAGACAGCGCCGCACGAGCTCGGCTAAATGCAGTTTCTTGTCGTTTATCTCGTGATGCTGCCAATGGCTAAGCACACATGGTGAATTTTTAGTGTCCGGTATTTCCAGGCGCGCCCAACTAACACTCGTCACACCAATGCGCACACCCACACTGGACATAATACCCTGACGCTGCTGCTCATCCAAAGCGGGCGTTATAAATGGCGCCGTGCGAGGAGCTTTTTGAGTTTTGACGCTGCTCTGGGTACTGGGCGCTGGCTCCAGAAGACTCTTGTAGAACTTGGCTGCCACCTTTAATCCGAAACCCTCGACATAAAGTATATCGCCAAGTTCACGCAGTGGACCATTGCGTGCTTTCCAGTTGTGCAGTTTGTTCGCGCGTGCCTTTGTTATGTCGTATCTACAACTTAAACATAGTTAAAAAGGTACTTTGAGGTGTTCAGGGGACGAAAACCTTAGAAGTTGATCAATGCCGTTTCCGTTGATAACATCCAGTATAAGCCTACGCTGCTCCTCTGTATAAGATGGTAGCTCGATGGGTTGCTCTGTATCGTTGGCGATTATGGGCGCCGTTGGTATCTGATTAGCAAACTGGCACACATAATTAGTTGTTAAGGCACGCAGTGTGCGTTTTAGTTGAAAAGAGATCATTATTTAATTTAGGACAACGCACAAATTTAAGTTCTTCATAAATTACGCAAAGATAGCCGGTTTGTTGTTATTTATCATACCAGTGTGACCAGACAAGAAAAGCGGGCAAATATTCTTAAAAACAGCTGATTGTAGCTGGTGCAGCTGCTGCAGCTACAGCTGTTTGCAGCATCCAAATATTCGGAAAAGTCCATTTACAACTAGTAAACACGTAGTGTTCGCAAGGCGTAATACATTCGTTGAAACTCGGCACGCACGCAACAAGATAAAGCATGCAGTTTTCCTGGATGAAGGTGGCCATTTATGTGCTAACATTTCTAACATACGCATATTCTGGGTACGGATCTAGCACAATTGTGCATCTTCGGGATGCGATCATAGCGGCGGAGGCGATATTTGGTGATGTTTTTAAGAATTTCATCACAATTGTTCGCAAGTTTCGCACAGTGCATGAGGTATTTGATGCTGCCGTCGAGGAAAACTGCGTGTTTCAGTGCCCGGCGCCCGATGGCGGTGGCACGGGTAAGCATTTGACGCAAACACACATATTTATTATGTAAATCAAATAGCCTTACACTGACGTGTGCTTCTTGTTTTTCAGCGCCGCGGCCCGTGCAAAATAAATTCTATGTGCCCACCGCTGATGGCTGCGGTTCTTTGGGCTTGAGAATCAGTACTGAATACCTTCCCGCTGCCGAAATGGAGCCATGCTGCAATTCGCACGACATTTGCTACGACACCTGCAATAGTGATAAAGAGCTGTGCGACTTGGACTTTAAGCGTTGTTTGTATAAACACTGCGACAGCTTTGAGAAGTCTATTGCCAGCGACTTGATGACCAAGGGCTGCAAGGCGGCCGCCAAGATGCTGTTCACAGGCACATTAACGCTAGGCTGTAAATCGTACCTGGATTCGCAGCAGCGTTCGTGTTATTGTGCTCCTAGCAAATCGACTAATTTTAATGGAAATAAGTACGCGAATAGCAAGGAAAAACCGCAGAAGCAGAAGTATGGCTGGAAGGATCGAAATGAAATCTAGCAAGGGCTATGTAGATATAAATACACGTTATTTGTTGTCGTTTGTAGTTCCTTTCGTGTTAGTTTTTAAATTATGGTTGTACTTTTCTACCATTTGACGAATTTTTCTAGCTTAATGCCAAAGCTAGCATAGTCTCAGTATTTTTATACCAAGCACAGATCATTAAACAGATATTGTGTGAACTCGATATTACAATTCCTATTTCAACAGTTGCCTGAGCAAATTTTGAATAAAGAAGCACGCTTTTTTAAATTTGCCTCGTTGAGACGTTTTTTCAGTATTTTGGGATTATTTATCGATAATTTAGAACATAAAAGAGTATATTTTTTTATCGAGTCGTCGATAAGTTGAGACACTATTTGTAGTTTGCAACACTAAAAGTTTACTTTAGCCAGCACTTAAACAACACAAGCGCACCACGAAAAGATTTTGCAACCTAAGCTGAAGAAATTTTAATGTAGCTTAAAATTAAATAAATCTTGCAATGGGCTATGATGTCAATCGCTTCCAAGGCGAAGTGGACGAGGAGCTAACATGTCCCATATGCTCAGGTGTTCTGGAGGATCCGCTGCAGGTTTGATATCAACAAAAACCAACCCAAAACACTTTTCATTTGGTGCTTTGAATATTTCACAGGCGGTCATGTGCGAACACGCCTTCTGCCGTGGCTGTATTAACGAATGGCTAACACGCCAGCCCACATGTCCCGTAGATCGCAATGCACTAACAACCGCGAATTTGCGAGCTGTGCCGCGCATATTGCGCAACTTGTTGTCCAGGTAGGTCACCCACACATATATGTACTTTGTACAAGAAGTTAATGAGTGCTTTTATAGACTGTCGATTACCTGTGACAATGCGCCCTATGGCTGCACAGCTGTGCTAAAGTTGGATGCCTATAATTCGCATTTGGAAGATTGCGTCCACAACCCGAAACGGCCGTTTCCCTGTGAAAAAGGTTGTGGCTTTGACATACCCAAGGATGAACTTAAGGATCACAACTGTGTGCGAGAGCTGCGCGCGTTAATTGTCAAACAAACTGAACAAATTGGCCAACTCAAGACAGAAATAACTGATCAGCAGCTAACCATCAATGAGCTAAAGCGTGAGCTGCAGTTATTCAAAGATTTTATGCGTGCCATGCGCGTCTCCAATCCGGCCATGCGTGCCATTGCTGATCAAATGGAACGCGATGAGGTGATACGCTGGAGCAGCGCTTTGGCCAGGGCGCGTGTTACACGCTGGGGTGGCATGATTTCCACACCCGATGATGCACTGCAGGTAAGAGAAACAGAGTCCGCAGCAGCAACTAACTGACATAACTAACCGCTGGAATTTTACAGCTAATGATCAAACGCGCCCTGTCAGAGTCTGGCTGCCCGCCACACATACTGGATAGCTTAATGGAGAACTGCCACGAACGGCGCTGGCCCCGGGGTCTTAGCTCACTGGAAACGCGTCAAAACAATCGACGCATCTACGACAATTACATATGCCGCCGCATACCAGGTGAGTTTCCTGATCAGCAAATCATCCGCAACTGTTTCCCTGACTAATAAAAGGTTTTGTTATGGCAGGCAAACAGGCGGTGCTTGTGCTCAGCTGTGACAATGTGCACATGACTGAGGATGTGATGGTCGAGCCGGGCCTGGTTATGATATTTGCGCATGGCATCGAATAGGCATTAACCGTACGGCAGCTACATTTAACTAAATACTTAATGTATGTCAAATAGTGCTCAGTTTTGTTGTTTCCTTGATCTAATGCATAAGCCTAAGCATAAAACACATTTGTCATATTAATCATTGTAGCGTTAAGTTAAACTCGAAAGCACTTTCACTACTATAAAAAGCGCCTCATGACGAATCTCAAGTTGAAATTTATATTTAACTTTATTTCCATATACACATAGTTCATTATATATGTATGTTCATATTCCATTTACACACATTCGTGTGTGTGTAGCAACCATAAGTTTTTAATTAAGCGATCTCAGCAAACAAATTTTGTTATTGTTCACTTAAACGCGCTCGATGCACAGAATATGTGTCTTTTAACTAATTGTGTCTTTTATTTAAGCAACTTTAAAATTTACTTAATGTGTAATTTAATTAAAACAATTTAAGAAATTCCAAATATTACAATTTTCATTGCAATTTCATTAATATGAAGAGTATTGGAATTAAAAGCTACGACACAAAAACAATATCTTCAATATGTGAACATATATCTATTCATCGTATAGTTTCTGATTGATATTGACTGGCAATAATGCCTATTTTGTGCAATTTCAGGAAATCCTCTTACCAGGTCATTATTCATGTACAGTAACTTAATTTGGAAATGTATTAAAGGGCAATCACACACACAGTTTTTAAGTTAAAATCACGAACAGCTGCGCAATCGCAATGAAAAGTTCACTGGGTTGCGCCGTCACAACTTTTCGTCGCCCCCAACCCCAGCCTACAATTACACACAGACACACACGAGTTCTGGGCATCATCTGTTCCCGAAAAGGAAATTCAATAAGTCGCCCAACCAAAAGCAGCATCAAAGAAATCAAACTAGTTCCTGCATGAGCTTTGAAAAAAACCAAAACCGGTTACGGCTTTTGTAGACGTTTTTTTTTCTCTCTCGTTTGATTATACAAAAAGTTGTTTAAACCTTTGTCTTTGGTGTGTTGTCCATCTTTTGTTTCGTTACATGTGCCAAAAATCGATTATGATATGCTGAGACAGCTATTGGTTAGAAACATTTAAATATTTATAAGCGTAATTAGCACTTCGAACTAACAGGGGGCGCCCCCTGGCGTTTAAAAAGTGAGAGTTTTAGTTGAATAAACCGCAATCGGGGCGCGCAGCTTCGAACAGTCGTCTGTGGTGCTGCGTAGCTGTTGGACGTGCCCTGAACGTTTGGAAGTGTTCACTTTAAGACGATTAACAAAACACAATGAATTTGTCAATTTGTATGCTAATCTTTGTAGCCGTTTGCCTAGCAGCGACGTCAGCGGCGCCGCAGCTAAGGCAGCGCAACGAGAAGCAGGTTCAGGAGGGATTGCGTAAGTATCAGACCATAATCGATTCCTATTGTGAATAAGAATACTTATTGATCTGACACCCAACAGCTCCAAAAGGCGCCACCATCGAGGAGGTAGTCCTAGAGTCGAGTCTGCACATTAAGCCCAAGGCGCGTCAGAATGTCAGACGCGTCCGATCCGCGCTGGATGACACGCTGCGTGAAATCTATATTGCACACAAACGAGTGAAACGTCAATTTGGACATGGGCGGTTTGGCGGCAACGCTCAAGTTGGCACCCAGGCCGGCGGCACCAATAGCGGCGTCAATGTGGGCGCTGGTCCCAATGGCGGCACTGCCGATGCCAATGTTAACCTCAATCCACTCGGTCCCCTGGGACCTAATGGCTACAACCAGGAGCAGTCGGCCTCAAATGGCGCGGCTAATAGCAACTTCAACAATGGCTTCGATTCCGGCTCATCGGCAGCCAATGCCCAGGCCCAGGGCTTCCAATCGCAAAGTGCACTTGGTTCATTTGGTGCATCCTCCGCCAGCACGGCTACCCAATCGCAAAATTTGAATCCATTTGGCAACAGCAACTCTGCGGGCGCCTCACACAGTCAAGTCTACAAGCTGCCCAACGGTCAAACCATTAATTTTGCCTCCACTAATAATTTCGCCAATAGTGGATTCGGCAACACTGCCAACAGCCATGGTGGAGCTGTATCTGTGAGTGGGTAATGCCATGCCACAGTGAAGGTATTCAATGTTACGAAGAATGTTGTGCAAATACGTATAACCGATTTTTAACAAAATTCAGGTGATTTTACCCTATTTATACAATTCTTACAATATTGTAAAAAAGCAATAAAATGACCGCGTCGAAAATAATTCTATAAAAGTATTACCAACATATACGTAACGGCTTATTATGCCTTATTTGCTTACCATTTACTTGTCATTAACCAGTTTCCACAAACTCCGAAATAGATCGAGCAACTGCCATTTTGATAAAATGTTTGTGTTTTAGTTTTATTGGTTTGTTAGGGTCATTGCTGTTGGGCTTAGTCGGATTCGCTTTCGCTTTCCGATTGAAAATCACCCACTTCAATGGAGAATGAATATTCCTGATCGCAGCCCAAATAGGAATCGCTCATATAGTACAACGTATAATCATGCTTGCCGGGACTGGGCGCCACAAAGTCAAGCTTGACTTTAGCCTTTTGCTGCAGCGTAAGTCGTTTGATGGAGAGCAGTGAATTGGTTTTGGGATCACCAATTACCACCCACCAGCCCTCCTCACGTTTTTGCGGGAAGAATGGAGCTATAACAGGGCCGGTGACTTCATCCTCGCGCTCTAGCTGCACTACCACATTCACTGTGGAACCGGAATTGATGCGATCCTTGTCGACCACCTCGTAGTTCAGTTCAATGTTGGGATAACGATTGCAGAAACGCGCCACATCGGCCATTTGCACATCGGACAGCTGTAGCAGGCGAATGCGATCCTCATCCTCGAGCTCCATTATATCGAAAACAGTTTCAATTTTCTGAAAAGTACAATTATTAGGCGAGCTCGTAATTGAGTACGTTATTATTACCTTATCCGTGCAGCGCTTTATGATATCTGCATTGAAGTGTGGCAACTGCCGCAAATAAGAATCCTTGCTCCACATGGCCTGCGTAACCATCTGTGCCAGTTCCATGGCAGCGACAGCAGGAGATAGCCAGCCATTAGAACTCAGCACATCCACACAGGCCTGTATCAGGCGTATAGCTTTGCTGAGTATCTGCTCAGTATCGCCCTGAAGTTCTGGTCCTAGCTGCAGACGTGACAGATGTGCCTGAAGCAACAAGTTAGTTTTAATGTGAGGATCATTGAATCTGAAAAACGAAAGTTAATTTAAACATTTACATTTGAATATTAGCTGACATATTTACTTGGGTGCTGTTTCATTGGGTCCAGTTAGTTTATTGGGCAAGCGCTGGGAGAGTGTGCGCAGAACCTGCTCCTCGTGATGCCTCACCACAACATCCTCATACTCTGCTGCTGATGAAATGATCTCCAACAGACCGCGCACTTTGGTTTTGCTGTTCAACGACAAACTGAAGAGCTCTGCAGGGAATATCGTTAGATTAGATTTGATTTTCAATGTAAAATACCAGCCCAGCCTGATACTTACCAATAGTCGTATAGTTGATATAGTAGTAGGCGGCAATCATGCCCAAATTCAAGGGCAGCGTGTCCATATCGTCCTCAACGCTAATGCACTTGGACTGCTCCAGATCGCTGAGCGTATTCTCTACCAGCTCCGACAGATGATCAGACAAATGTCGATGCGTTACGCCCTGCAGATTGTAATAGTTGGGATTCTGGGTTAATCTTCGATAGAGGAATGTCCACGTTAAATAATCCACTGCATCCTGTTTGTTCTCAATGGTTTTGGTGACCACCTCAGCATTGAAATGATCGTGCATGCGATGATCCAAATGACTTTCGATGGGCAGCGGCTCGTTAATAAATTTCTTGAAGAAATCCTTCTTGGAGCTCTGACACATTAGCACACACTTGGCATCTGCATCCTCATTAGGCCTATTGGCGCGTCCAATCATTTGGAGCACATCCGTAATGGGATAATCCTCATACGAATGATTCTTGCCATTGTAGAATTGTGTGTCCATGATGATAACCAGGTGCGACGAGATGCTCATGCCCCAGCTCAAGTCCCGGGAGACAACAGCTACCTGCACAGCGCCCGAATCGAAGAGCTGTTCGACTAGACGGTGATCAGAGGCAGACAAACCCTCGTGCAGATAGGCAACGCCTTGGGCGAGGGTCTCTTTAAGAGTCTTGTCCGACATGCGTTCGAGGAAGGGCTGTATGTCGTCCTCTTCGGCATGGAAGAAGCGATTCGGCTGCAAGTCCGAGGCAGCGTACGTCAGTATATCAATAGCTGTGAGACGCGCCTGCTTACGCGATGAAACAAACACAATTACGGGCTTGTGAGAGCTGTACTTGAGTATCGCATTATAGACGGGCTTGGACATGGTCGCTATGCGTGTGGCATTGTGGGTGACATTGAAACCCTGTATGTGCAGCTCCAGTGGTATGGGCCGTACGCTTGGATGAAAGTTGAATGTGGCATTTGGATTGCAGCCCAGCCACTGGGCCACGTCGCGTGCATCTGTCAGAGATGCGGATAGGGCTACAATGCGTATCTGCTTCTCGATTTGTGAGCTGATGTAACGCATGCGGGAGCAGACAATCTCCATAACAGGTCCCTCCTCACCGCCTACCAGCTGCAGTTCGTCGACGATAAACAGATTGATCTGTTGCACATTCTTGCGCTGCTTCCAGCGACGTGACAGCACATCCCATTTATCCGCTGTGGTTATTACCAGTTGTCCCTTGGCTATTAGCTTAAGATCCGTGCCCGTTTCACCAGTCAATTTGACCACCTTGATATCCAGGCCGCCAAACTTGGTATGCCAGTCGGCAAAGACTAGATCGGCAAGCGCCTCTTGGGATACAAGATAGACGCAACGCCCATCGCTGCTTTGGCTAAACAAACGCATTATGGCAAACTCGGCAATGGTCATTTTGCCAGAGCCCGTGGGCGCGCCCACAAATACATTCTCATCGCTGTTGTAGACCGCATTAAAGACCTGCGTCTGTATGGGATTGAATTGCGGGAAACGTTGCGAATAGAATGCCTCAAATTTGGGCTGACGCAAAGCGCTGATGGGTAGCGGTTGTAAGTCTAGCAGCTCCGTGGGTGGCATATTTTTTTCGGGTAGTATGAGATGCCTAAACGATACGGGCAGCTGCGTCTCGGCGCCTATCCAGCGATCAGAGACAATTCGTAGAAAGTATTGCGGAGGAAGAGGTTCAAAAACGGGCACAAAGAATTTTAACTGATGCTCATCCTGGGCATACTTCTGCTTAAGCAAAAAGAATTCATGATGCAGTATAAGCTCCGAGTCGACATCCTCAATCAAAATCCAGAAACCCTCCGACTGACCGTGCACCTTTTCATCCCATTGAAAATCGGGCGTAATTGTGAGCTCCACACGCAGCGTTGCTCGCGTAATGGGCTGAATATGCGTGGATAGCTCCAGTTTGGGGAACTGATGCACGAACTTGTGTATGGTCTTGCCCAGCTTGGGCACACGTATTAGTTCACCCAACTCATGTGGCTCCAGATCGTACAGACGCGACCAGGGAAAGTGTTTCTTTTCCAGCTTCTTCGCTATTTCATCGGGCATTTTCTTGAACTGCCGCAACGGTGTCATCGATTGCCACATGCGGCGATCAATCATCTTGCAAAGCGTCAGCGTTTTATCCGCCAGCTGCGCCCAGCCGCGGGTCAGGACAATCTCAAATATGGCACGCATCAGACGCGCAGCGGATTGTGTGATGAAAACCATGTCGGACATCAAAGCGAAGCCCTCCAGCTTCAGCTGCGAAATGTAGGCTTGCAGTAGCACATTCACCTTGGCGCTATGCTCCTCAATCGACTCCTTGATGGGTATGGGCACGCGCTCCATGAGCTTCTGCAGTTCCAGTTTCTCCTCCTCGCGCACAGAAATGTGACGAAACTCAGACGACAGCGAAAATACGCGAAACAGTTCAATTTCACTAAGAGTTTGCTTCAGCAGCTGATTGTATGTCAACATTGTCTCGTGAGTAAGATAATAGTGGGATGCAATGCGTCCAAGATCGGTGACCTGAAAGTGACCCGTCTTGCGTTCGTATTTTATCAGACCACTGCGCTCCAGGCAACAGGCTGCGGTATGCAGTAAATCTGCGCGATGCTGCTCCAGCAGCGGATCCGCTTTAATCGCATCATGCGAAACGCCATACAACGTGGGATTGCGTAGCATGCGTATGTACAGGTAAGTATAGCCTAGCCAGTTGACCGCATCCTGCAGATGCTGAACGGTGCCCAGAACAATTTCAGCATTCAGCATGTCCGGCAGCTTGGAAACAAACTGCGATTCAATGGGCAGCTGCTGATTTAGCAGCGATAGGTAAAACTGCAGCTCACTGTGGTTCGTAATGAGTATGCCCTCGCCCTTGGTATCGTACTGAGGACGTCCTGCGCGTCCCAACATTTGCAGCACATCCAAGGCGCTCAACTCGACCCAACGACCCTTCTCCGGATTGTAGACCTGTGTGCCCTTGATGATTACCGTGTGCGCTGGCAAATTAACACCCCAAGCCAAGGTGGCAGTCGAAACCAGCACCTGAATGTGTCGATCAGCAAATAGATCTTCCACCAGTGTACGATCCACGCGCGTCATGCCAGCGTGATGTATGGCAAAGCCGTAGGGCAACAGCTCCTTAAGCTCAGCGTTCTTCACTTGCTCTGCTTCGGTACGCAACACTTCCATGCTGGCAGAGCCCTCGCGCAGAAAGCTGCCCAACGTGTCCTGCTCTAAGCACATGTCACGAACTGCGCGCGCTGTTTTTCCGGTCTCCTTGCGAGAGTGCACAAATACCAGCACCTGATTACGACCAGCATGCTCCATTGTTTTCTCATACACAATCTCGTTCATCACCTGCATAGAAAAAAATATATTAAATAATTATCAGAAAAGGAGAAAAATAGATAATCTGTAGTCAGATGAAGACTTACCTGGAAACGTTTCAATGCCTTCTTCTCCGTGACACCAATGTACTGCTGTTCCAGTGCCACTGGCCGATAGCTATTGTCAAAGTAGAAGAGGCCCTTGTCGGGTTTGACACGTAGAAATGTGGCCACGTCCTGGTAGTTTGGCAGCGTGGCAGACAAGCCTACCAGACGTACATCCTCCTGTGTGGTCTCAATGTTGCGTATGGTACGTGCCACCAGCGCCTCCAGAACTGGTCCACGTTCGTCGTGCAGCAAATGAATCTCATCAATGATGACCAGGCGTACCAGACTGACAAATGTGCGTTCGCCACCCTTGCGTGTTATAATATCCCACTTCTCTGGCGTGCAGACAATCACCTGAGTCGCAGCAATTTGCTCTCGCGTCAACTGGTGATCGCCCGTCAGCTCAGAGACGGTAAGATTGTAGCAGGCCAGGCGACGACCGAAGTTTCCGACCATTTCCTGTACCAGAGACTTCATGGGTGCCACATAGATGATCTTGAAATCTTGAGCATTAATGGTGCCATCCTCGTTGATGTGCTTGCCAATCTCTCTCATCATTGTGAGCAGGGCTACATTTGTTTTACCAGCACCAGTGGGCGCACACAGCAGCATATTCTCATCGCTGTCCAAAGCGGCTTTGTAGAGACGGCTCTGAATGCGATTCAAAGTCTTGAAACCATCGAAAACAGGTTGCACATACTTGGGCAGCTTGTCAATAGGCTGCAGTTCCTCGTCTGCATCGAAGGGCACCTGCTTCAAAGCGGGTACATGCACCTCTTCGTAGCCCTTGCGCTGCTTGCGATAGCTGCCATCGGGCAGCTGGCATCGCTTGTTGGCCATAAAATGCGAACCCTGGGTAAAGGCCAGCTCATCCAGTTCCAGTAGTTGACGCACACCGGCCACTTGACCAGCAGCCGCCGCACCGCCATCATCGGCATCGCCCTTTCCACGCTTGCTGGCGCGTGCATCCGCCTCTTCTTGCTCATCTGCCTTGCCTGTGTCTAGTTGACGCAGTATCTTGGCCAGCGCTATATTGCCACGCATCTTTTCACGTATACGCTGCCGCTCGCTGTCCGTTTGTGCGGAGGCCAACATGGTACAATAGAGTATCATCTGGCGATTCAGCTTCAGCTGCTTAATAAAATCAAAGCAATCATAGCCCAACAGCAGCACCAACTGATTCTCGCAATCGCGCTCGTCGGCGGCATCTTTTAATATCTTGAGGACATCTGCTGCCTTGCTCTGCGAGACCATAGCATCCTTATAGTATTTGCTCAGACAGCGCTGCAGCCAGTAGGCATCAATGTCCAGTGGATGAAGCAAGCGATCCTTTTTCACATTGCTCGCAGCCTCTTCGCTCGCTAGCTGTGAATTATAATAATATAAGTATAATACGTGATTTGCATGGGTGTGATAATACTTACATTTTCGGCATGCAGCGTATGATCGATGCGCGCCTCCTCGCCCTCGTCCTGGGCATCATCATCGCGTATCTCGCCGTACATGTCATTGTCGCTTTCCTCTTCGGACTCTTCGAATTGCACATTGATGCCGTAGGCATCGTCAATTTGCTCCTCATTGTTGGTTGCTGCTGTAAGCGCATTCACTGCATCGCTGCCAAAGTCGGTGATCTTCTTGCCCAGATTGACGAGCAGGGCAAATCGTTCGTCTGTTACTTCGCCTAGCAAACTGTCGACGTCGCGTTTGCGCTCGCGATCTTTGAGCCGATCATTCTTGAGCACAGCTAGAATTTCATCCGCGGCGCCGCATAATATATCGCGCGGTTGATCACCCAGCGCCTCTTGTATGAAGCTAAGTAGCACCTCGTATGTTTGACGTGTCTCCTGCGTTTTGGGCCGATACACAATGCCTACCATTTCATCAATACCCTCCGAAAGCAGTGTAGCGCCTTTCATACGCTCAAAATCGTACTGTGCCTCGTCACGTTTTTGCCGCTTCACCTTGCGTTCTTCTGTTTTCTCCGGCTTTGTGCGTTGATAGCGGTCCCCCATACGGGTGCCATCCAATTTACCCACCAATGAGCACACCTCGCCGGTGGCTTCATCGCGTCGCGGACGCTCGATGAGACGTACATCAGCTTGCAGTACAAGATTCGAGTTCTGCCAAGATAAAAAAAATATATCAACATTTTTCGGAAAACGTTTACCCCATGTGGCAGCACTTTTTTTTTAACTCTTGTAAAACACTTACCGCCTTGTACTCATACTGCAATTGACGTGCTGCAGCATCCGCCATATTTGTTTACTTTTTTGTAAGCTTTTGTGTGCTGAATAATCTTATTTTTGCAATTTTTTACGCGGTACAAATATTCGGCATTTTCACTGTATATTGGCTGGCTACAAGATAGGGTTGCATTTGAGTCGATACTATTAGCATCGCTTGGCATCGATTTTTTAAATATCGATGTACACTTTAACAGTCTTGCAATTTGCAACACTAGTTCTTCTTAGCTCTGGTCACACTGTAGTTACTATAAAGTAAAAGTAAACAAAACAAACAGCGCTCCGTTGTAACTGCAGTGTATTGAGCAGCAAATCGATAATCAGTTGTATTGCGACCTCGTCGGCGAGTAGAGCGTAACCAGGCCAAACAAACGAAATATAAATACATATCAGAATGCTGCCGCTTCCAAGTACAGATCAGGATCTACGCTGCCCTGGATTCTGCGATTGCCGTTTCCCCAGCTGCATCGATGTAGCCAACCACAAGGGACATATACCCGACTTGGTAAAGTGCCGCTGTGGTGAGGACAGTGCTAATGGTCTGCAGTGGCAGTGGCACCAAGCGGAAGAGTCCGATGCACAAATCATAGGCAGAGACATCATATTCCATCCCACATACAGTCAGGGCACGGCCATTGTGCGTGGCGAGCAACCACTGCAGCAGGACAAAGTGCACTTCTGGGAGATGCGCGTCATTACAGCGCTGGCAGGTACAGATGTGGTAAGTTCTAGTGCACAGCAACTGCATCTTAAGGGATTAAAATAGTCAACGAGATAAGCAGCATTGTAAAGATAAGACAACAGGGACACACTTGTCACTGTCTGTCCGTTTTGTCATGAGGAAATCTGTACATTGCTAGCCAGAAACCGAATGACTTAGCTGATAAGCAAATCATGATCCCCTCTCGACCCGCGCGCTTACAAAAAGGTCATTGCAAACATAATAGTCCCAGTTATTTACAATTTCTTTCTCATCGCGTAATCTTTTCTAGATGTTTGGCATAGGCACTGACAGCGTTAATCTGGAACAATTCAAATTCCACTTTGTTTCTGCATTGGGTACCAATGCTCAATCTTGGGGCTATTCATACAATGGTAAAATTCAGCATTGTGGTGACCAGCTGCCCTACGGCCAAAAGTTTTCCCAGGGCTGCTTGGTGGGCATCTATTTGGACCGCACGCGTGGATACTTGGAGTTCTATTTGAATCGCCGCTCACTGGGTGTTGCCTACACAAATATACCAACAGATCCGCATGTCAAAATCTATCCGATGGTCTGCTCCACAGCTGCCAAGTCTGTCATACGGCTGATTAACTCCACATCACAGCCGGTTACACTGCAGCTGAGAGCATTTGAGGCGCTAGCCAAGCAGCCGCAAAAACTCGATGAACTGCGTCAAATGCCCGGCTTGAATAACATAATGCAATCGTATTGGTTTCTGGCTCCACCCGTGCGTTATTCCAGATGCTCAACGGACCTCGAGCTGGACCTCGGCGATGAGGCGGTGCTGCCAAGCTCCAAACTACGCCTGGGTAGAAAGCAAAAATATAGAGGTAAGTTATGCGACAAATTATACAGGATGTCTAAATATGAACTTATTAAAACATTTGCAATATTATTACTAAGCTTGTGTGAGGCACTTTAACATGGTTATACATTTATCGAGTACAAATTAATAAAAGCAATTGTTATGAAATAATCATATACACTTCTCTTGTATTATTCTCGATCAATTTGTAATCATGCTTCACTATCGTGTTAAAGGTTTAAGGTTTGCTCTATTTGCAACAAATATTTAAGAAGTAAATAAAGTGCCTTTATCTATTGTAATTCTGTTTGCTTTTGCTCGAGATAAAGATAGAGAAAGTATTAGATTTCATTTACTTAAACTAAACCTTAACTGTTTACATACATATATATGAGATAACCCAGGTCCGAATTTCATTAACATTTAATCTTAGTAAGGAGATAATGTTGTTATTTGTTTTGTATGTATCGGCTGGATAACTTAAACCTTTGGCTGTATTACTGAAATCATTCTAGAACTTACTTAATTTAAATTACAAATAATTAATCTATATTCTGTAGCTATGTCTATGTAACCCCTCAATACCCTAGCTTTATCTCCAGCTATATATAATTTATACTTCAGTTACGAGACCTTGTACTCTGTGCCAATTGACAATCAATTAAACACACATATTTCGTATTTCATTTTTCAGAAACCGATGATGTCAACATCGATGAGGATCTATATGCGAATGCGCACAAGATTCCGGTGCGGCGTAGCGAGAGCGGCGATGAGGAATATGCCTCATCCATACACGAATTCTGTGATGAATATTTTCACTATTTGTTGTAGGTGGCCATAGCTTAGCTCTAATAGATTTTTTTTTTGCATTTATTAAAATACAATGTACTCTAAATAGGCATAAAGCCTAAATATATATTTCTTTATGTAAGTTCCAGTGTATTCGACACTCTTGATTTGTTTTTCTTTTCTATAAAAGACAGTCTGATTGATTTAAGACAGACTGTAGATTTATTTAAAAAGTATTTTCTTTAAATATATATGAATATATCATTGTATTTTGTATGTGCGAAAAATTGTATAAAGTTTCATTATTGCGATGCAGCTTGGGATCTCGGGGTAGTGCTAAGAACGGGATTGGGTATTGCGTACTGAATTTGGGTGGCTAAAAGAACTTAAAGTAAACTAAATATTAGTTGCATTCGGCGCCGTTGGACGCATCCAAAGCGGATCGTTTGAAGATGACGCCCAGTGGCAGCTAGTCCATATCATCGTCATCATCATCCGATATGGTATATTTCTTTTGGGCGCGCTTGCGACGCGTTTGCTTCTTGGATGTGGTCGCTGCGCCACTGCTAGCCACCGAGGCAGCTGTTGAGGATTGTGTGGGCGTGGCTGGTGCACTGGCCAGTGATTTGTTGAGTTTCAGCTTCATTTTAACTGCCGCCGCAGAGGTGGTGGCTATTTCCTCATCATCCGAGTTATCATCGCCTTCATCGTCATCATTGTCCGAGTTGTCGGAACCACCGCCGCCGCCACCGCCATTGCCGTGGGCATCACTCGTGTTGTCGCCAGCGGCCACAGCAGCCGCATCCGCAGCGGCTGTTACCCTTTGCCTAGCGCTTACAAAAACTTTTTGCAACGCCATGGAATCTAGATAAATGAGAGATGCCTCCTCATTGTAGATTTGCGCATTCTGACAGAGCTGCATGAAGTCCTTTTCGAGCTCATTGAGATCAGCGTATTTGCAATCCTCGATGCGCTGCAGTATTTTCTTAATGTCCACCGGCCGCTTGATAATATCATAATAATCGGGCAACCGCTGGCGCGAGGGAAGCTTCATAAATGGCTCTGAGAGCGTGCGACCATCCTGAGTATGTTTGATTACAGCGCTCATGATCTTGTGCATTTGCTTCTTGGAGCGTTTGTCCAAATTCTGGCGGCGTCTGCGCTTCAATATGAGTGAATCATCATCCGACTCATCTTTGCGGTTTTTACGCTTGCGACGCTTACGCTTGGAGTCGTTATCCTCCTCCTCCTCTTCGTCAAATTCGGCGCCATCATCAATGGCCTTGAGCCACTCCTTTTCGGTCAGACTGTCCGTGTAGTCAACCTCCTTGCGCTGTCGTGATCCCCGACCTGAAAATTCAAGCGAAATAATTAGATTGTGGTTTTCAGATTAAATACAAAACAAAATTCACTTACCCAATATGGTATCTTCATCATATTGGTAGTGGAAACGCTCCACCTCGTCATCGTCCTTCGTTAGCCAGTCGGGCAGCTCGGACTCATCAATTAGACGGTCTCGGCCCGGATGAATATCCTCATCCTCTTTCTTGCGTTCAATATCCATTCTCTTGAAGATTTCAATTTCTTCCTCACTGCGGGCTATCATCATGTTAATCATCTCATCATCGGGCACTTCGTTCTCTTCCTCCTCCTCGTTGTCGTCCTGATGCAAAATAGTTTGCAGAAATTGCTGACGTTCGCTGCCCGTGGATTTCTGATCGAACATGCCCGCCTGGATGACTTTCTCGTCCATGTTCAGCTTGTATCGTGCCGCGGCCAAAATGCGTTCCTCCACCGAGTTGACCGTCATTAGACGCAATACACGCACCTCATTACGCTGACCGATACGATGAGCACGATCCTGTGCTTGCAGATCCTGATGCGGATTCCAATCAGAATCAAAGATGACCACGGTGTCGGCAGTCTGCAAATTCAAACCGAGTCCACCGGCGCGTGTGGAAAGCAAGAAGACAAAATAATCTGAGCCCTTGGCATTAAATTTGCGCAGCAGTTCGCCACGATCCTCGGCCTTGGTGGTGCCATCCAGGCGCAAATAACCAAACTGACGCCAACTAAGATAATCCTCAATAATGGTCATGCACTGGGTCATCTGACAGAAGAGCAGCACACGATGATTCGTCGCCTTTAGTTTGGGCAAAATGCGATCCAGCAGCTCAAATTTGCCGGACACACGATAAAGATCGGGTCCTGCATAAAAAAAATCATGTTAATTTAGAAAACCGAACTGCATATTATCAATTGTAAATTAATTACCAGATACTACGCCATGTCCTCCAGTATGATCGCAGTACTTCTCTTCGATGTGCTGGAACATAAATGGATGATTGCACAGCTTTCGCAGCTGAACGATGGTGTTCATGAGAGCCTTGGCGCCACCCTTGCCGTGCTTGCCCTTCTCGGAGCCATCGGTGAGTAGAACACCCTTGCTCTGCATGTGCTTGTAGAGAACGCGCTGCAGTGCGGACATGTCGCACTTGATAATGTACTCGACCTTGTCGGGTAGCTGATGTTCGACCTCCTTTTTGAGACGGCGCAACAGGAACGGACGCAGCACCTTGTGTAAGCGACGAATAATCAAAATGGTTTCCTCCTCATTCAATTCAACCTTCTCGCCGGTGGTTGCAAACGGCGCATTGAACCACTGCTCAAAGGTGGAGCAAGATTTGAAAATGGAAGGTAGCAAAAAGTTGAGCAGCGCCCAAAGTTCGGGCAGCTTATTCTGCAGCGGTGTGCCCGTGAGTAGCAGTCGATAAGGCGCTATGTAATGTGTATTGAGCACCTGCGTCAATTTGCAATGATGATTCTTCATGCGATGACCCTCGTCGATGATCATGTACTTCCATTGTATCTTGGCCAGCACCGCCTTGTCCTTGATCACATACTCGTAAGTGGTGAGCAGCACATTGAATTTGGTCGCACGCATTTGATTCTGGAGCAGACGACGACCCTGTGGACTGCCCTTATAGCTGACAACGCCAACGGAGGGCGCCCATTTCTCAAACTCCAGCACCCAATTGGGGAGTGTGGAAAGTGGTACAATGATTAAATACGGACCCATCACCTTCTTGCGATCCATTAGATAGGTGACCAGTGAAATGGTCTGAATGGTCTTGCCGAGACCCATCTCATCGGCCAAAATGCCATTCAAATTGTTGTTATACAGCGAGACGAGCCATTCGAGACCCTTCAACTGATACTCTTTCAGCTGGCCATTGACCAAAATAGCGGCCTGCTCTGTGACCTTCTCGTGCACGGTGTGCGCAATGCTGTAGTATGTTTGCTCCTCAGTACGATATTCATCGTCCTCGACCTTGACTTGGTTAATCAAATCGTTGGCTTCCGGATCACCTGGCTGCGCTGATTTGTCTGTTGCGTCTTCAGATCCCTCCGCGCTAGAATTACGCTCCAACTGTGGCTGTTCCTCAAGCTTTGCTTTCGCTTTCTTCTCTGGCGAACCGTCGTTATCATCATCGTCATCGTCTATCCAATCCCAGCCGGGATGCATGTTCAGCCAGCGATGTAAATGCTTAAGCATCGGTGCATCATCACCAGTTAGCTTCTTGCCGCTGCATTGCTCCACCACATGGACACGCATATCGGCGGCAATGCTGTTCTCATCAATGTTGACGTATTCGCCGGTCATAAGCAGCTCCTTTTTGTACTGCTGCAGACGTTTGCCCTCCTCCTCCTTCTTCTTCATCTGGTCGTCCTTGTGCTGCTTAACCATCTGTGTGAGATTGCTAATGTACTCGTCTGTCTGCGACAGCAGGAATGCCAAGCGCTTGTCCTTCTTCTGATCAATCAGCTTGCGGTAACCCTCCTCATCCTCGGCCATCAAGCGACGCATACGCTCTTTCTCGATGCGCTCCTGCTCCTTCTTCTGTTCACGTTCCGCATTCGCATGGTAGTTCATCACGGACTTGTTCATCCGCGCCAGCTGAGCCTGCACAGTGGGAATTAAGATTTAGTGTTTGGATAAACTTCTCCTGGACTATTTGTACCCACCTTGTTATTGCGATGATATTCACGCAGATCCTTGCCATGCTGCAGCACTGCAGACAAGAACTCGAGATGCTTCTGTCTGCGTTTCCGTTCCGCCTCGAGTTTCTGCTGTTTCTCGAGCTTCTCGGTGGCGCGAGCCTCGCGTAGCCCTTGACGTTTGGTACGCTTGTAGAACTTCATATTGATGGCAGTCTCCAGCGTTGTATCGCGGCGTGTGCATTGTACAATTTCCATGCGCAGCTGTCGTTGGAAATTTAGAACGCGCAGAGCACGCAACTCAATGGCCGCCTGAAGGCGCAGATCCTCAGACATTGTGGCCGGCAGCCTTTGTAGCTCCTGCATGCGAAGCGATATGCGTGCGGCAATGCGATTCTCGCGTTCCTGCAGCAACGTTATAGGATCGAGACCCACCGGCTTGGCCACGGTGGTCACGCGGTTTGGTTTGGCCATCGGCTGTTGCTGTCCGGGCGGTGCGCCTGGTCGTGGCGGACCTGGTGGCGCTACTTGATTACCAGGCAGACCTGGCGCCGCAGGACGCACGCCCTGCACCTGCATAGGTGTAGCTGGTATCAACGGCTGGCCCCCAGCCGCACCCATGGCCAGCGGCTTACCGCCATTGTGCTGCTGATGCTGCAACTGGTCTGGTGGGGGCTGCAGAGGCTGCTGTTGTTGTTGTTGCTGCTGCTGCATTTGTTGTTGTTGCTGTTGCTGTTGTTGCTGCTGCTGTTGCTGCTGCATCTGTTGTTGCTGCTGCGGCGGCGGAGGAGCGCCACCGATCAGCGGCGGCTGCGGCTGCAACGGTTGCCCTTGCATATGCGGAGGCGGTGCTTGCTGCATTTTCTGTCCAGGCACTGGTGGGCCGTATGGACTTGCTGGTGGCGTAGAACACTGGGGCGGGGTGCCTGTCGAGGGCGGCTGTTGGGGCTGCATAGGCTGCTGACCACCATGCGGCCCACCCGGCGGCGGTCCACCCGGCATACCTGGCGGTCCGATTGGCGGCGGAGGTTGTTGCTGTTGCTGCTGCTGTGCCGCCTGCAACGCCTGCTGCATCTGCATGGAAATGGGCTTGTTGCGTGCCAGCATGCGGTAGGCAGTGATCTGTGTGCGCAGCAGATTAACCTGATTGCCATTGAGATGCTGGTGCTTGGAGGTGGCGCGCATTGCCAGCAGTTGTGAGTAGCGTGGATCCTCCTGCAGTCCCTTCTCCTCCATCGAATCAATGGCCCGTTGTAGAGCATGCAGATTCTCTTGGCCAGAACGCTCAGGCGGACCGCCAGGTGGACCACCTGGCGGGCCCTGACCAGGCTGTGGCGGACCCTGCATAAATTAGATTTCAGATAAAAAGGGAGTCCAAACATTGGGGATAACGGCAATTTGTCAAGTAGATAACTGATGAATTAATCCAATGTATAACACTTCTGCTTCAGAGTTATCCTTTAAGGATCACTTATCCATTTGCACTTACACTTTCTTTTACTTATATAAATTTTTTGATAGCTTCATATTAAGTCAACCTGATGCACTTAAAATATTATTATGTTAATTTATAGAAAATCATGATTTTTATTTAGATCATAGCGAATTAATGACATGATTTTTAGAGGTTTCTTACAAGCATTTGTATTTTTAATTCTATCCCCGCATATTTGTTCTATTATTCTAAAAAGAATAACATCTTTTTCTCAGTGTTAAATATTTTGCAAGAGTATTCAACAGTCGGTTCCCCAAAGATAACATGGCTGGTTTTAATTTAGAAAATAATTAAAGAAAAAGCTTTTTGCATCTCACGAAACTTGAAAAAATCTCAGTCACGATGAGTGAAAAATCCAGTTCGACAGCTCAGTGCGAATTCATTTGTCGAAGGCAGGTGACAACGCTACCAGAATCTTTAGACTGGAATAAAACAATGACAAGCACAATGGAAATTGAGGAGCTTTACAAGTTCATCTACCCGCTAGCTGTAAAGGCAGGTGAAATACTACTCGAAGGCTATCAAAATTCTGGAAAATCGGTGGCATTGAAGCGCAACGAATTTCACAACGTAGTCACCGAATACGACAATGAGATTGAGGAGTTTCTCATGACCAGCATACTGGCAAGCTATCCAGAGCATAAATTTATTGGCGAAGAGGATACGCACAAGAACAACAACATAACCAAGGAGCTGACAGATGCGCCCACCTGGATCATAGATCCCATCGATGGCACCTCCAATTTCATCAAACAGATACCCCACGTATCGGTTTCGATAGGACTCTCCATCAATAAGCAAATCGTGCTGGGCGTTGTGAATAATCCAGCCCAGGGCAAGCTCTACACAGCCAAGTTGGGACAAGGCGCCTTCTGCAATGGACAACCCATTCATGTCAGCAATTGTGAACGTCTGAATGATGCCAATGTGGCCTATGAGGTGTGTCTGCTGCACGAGCCAACGATTAGAAAGAAGCACATCAAACGCATATACTATGTGGGCTCTCAGGCGAGACGGTGCGTACAATCTAAGAATTCATATGGAAATCAATCTCTACTTAGTATATTTCTTTTCTTAGCTTGCTTGGCTATTCCGCTGTGGTGGACTCGCTTTGCATGGTTGCCGCTGGCAACTTGGATGCCTTTCACATTGAGGACATGTACCCCTGGGACTGTGCCGCTGGCTATCTGCTTATACGTGAGGCTGGTGGCGTTGTTACGCATCCTTATGGTGGCGCCTTTGACATTATGAAGCCCGACTTGATATGCGCCGGAACAGAGGCGTTACGAAAGCAAATTGAAACTCTTATACGCAAGGCGGATCAAGCTAAGTCTGTGGGAGGCGAAGAGGATTCTTGATTTATATACATTTTATATTCTGGCTAAACTGTTTTTTTTTTTTGGTGTGGACAATAAACAAGTTTCGTATATACGAGAAAAGAATGTATGTTTATAAAATTAGCTACAGTTAAGATCCACATTGTGCTTTTTCCTCCGCTCTTTAAAAATATGAAATTGAATTTAGTGATGCCACCTCGCAACGCATACGCATGGAGTTGCCATATTATTAATATTTTAAGGAGTGGCAGCACCTAACGCAATTTAACTTCCAGCTAAATCAATCATTTTACTTTCATTTCAAATATTTAAAATATTTTGTTAAAATAAAATATTTTATAATTTTTAATTTACTGACCTTCCCTTTCTATTTTACAATTATTAAATATATATTTTTTGCAATCATTTTGTGAAATTATTTTATAAATTCTTATCAAGTGACACAAATTTACATTGTGCGTATCTTATCAATGTTACAACAGCTTTATAGCTTTAAGGAGATGTAGACATGTTAATTAAGTCCAAGATTAGCCTTATCATTTATTCTTGACTATCATCCCAAATTGAATCAGACTTAATCATAAAGCAACAATACCCCTTTCGCACGACTCTACTCTTCAAAGTACAAAGTTTACTTTATGCCAGAGCTTTGGCAAAACTTTTCAAAGCTGTATGGCCGCAACTCAAATTAGATATTAAAATTCATTGGTTAGCGTCAGTTTGTCGAGTCCAAAACAAAAAACATGAGCAACAACACAATTAGTGAGGCGAAACTGAAGGAGTATTACGATGTGGCACTGGATTTGGTGCAGAAATGCGGTCCTATGCTGATGGAGGGTTATAGGAAGCCCAAAGCGGACTTTACGGTTAAGGCAGACTTTTATGACTTGGTAACCGTTTATGACAAACAGATCGAGGACGCCCTCACGGAGGGTCTGCAGGCAGCCTTTCCCGAATCGCTGATCATTGGCGAGGAGGAATCGGCAGCTTCAGAACGGCAAGCCGTATTAACAGATGCGCCCACCTGGATCATTGATCCCATTGATGGTACCACAAATTTTGTACATCGCATACCACATTGCTGCATTTCGGTCGGTTTGACCATCAACAAAGAACTGGTCGTTGGCATTATATATAATCCGCCGGCAAATGAGTTGTTCTCGGCACGGAAGGGTCACGGCGCCTACTTGAATGGCCAGCGCATACACACCTCCAAAGTAACTACGGTAAGTTCTGGCTGGTTATCATTATATAATTGCCGACAAAAAACAAGAATCATGATGATAAAGATTCGTTAAATGTTTGCTTGCACCCGCGAATCATAAACAAAAGTTTTCGAGTCTCTCAGTTGTTGTTTTTTTTCTGTTGCTCTCTCATTTTCGAAGCTTTTTTCAGATCAAACAAGCTGTGGTCGCCTACGAAATCTCGCTGATACATGCCGCCGCCGTGAGAGACAAGAATGTAAAACGTCTTTACAAGTTGGGCTCAAATGCCACCGCGTGAGTTCAACATTGAGCTTTAATTGTGTGAGTGAGTAGAAAAAGCACTTAAAGCGTTCGCTTTTTTTTTTGCTTTGCAGTACTCGCAGCTTTGGCAGCGGAGCTCTGGCCTTGTGCTATGTGGCGACTGGACAGTGCGATACCTATCATATTGAAGACCTGAAGCCGTGGGATATTGCAGCCGGAGCCGTAATACTAAAGGAGGCGGGCGGCTTTATTTATCATACCAAAGGCGGTAAATTTAATGTCATGAAACCGGATCTTGTCTGTGCCGGCACAGATGAACTGGCCAAGAATGTGATGAGTCTCATTGAAGAAGCCGATCAAATTACGGAATATACATTTAAGTAAAATTTATGTAATAAAATAAACCAAAAGCTTGTATTTGAAGGTCTCAATAATAGATGTATATGGACTCTGCTCAAGTTAACAAACATTTCAAGTTTTACTTGAAAAATAATTATTGTTTAGCAAAGAAAGCTAATGCTTAATGCATAAAGAATATAATAAAAAATATCTAAGATAAAGAAGCTTAAAAAACATCTCGCGTTCTAGATATAGACACTAAAAATTGCATCATATGAGGATGACTTTTCAGTTGTCAATTGAAACCGGTTTTTTTTCTCGCAATTTGTTGACTACGCTATGCAATAGACACATGTCTGTTAAAGATAAGGAAACTTCTATTTGTAGTCGTCAAACTAAACGAGATAAAGCTGGAGCAAGCAGCAAGCAACTGATTTCAATTTTCAGTTCATCTTCAGTTCAGTGCAGCAATCAAAGCTCAATGTAAACAAATGCGAGAGATTGTTGAAATTGTCGGTGCTTCGCTCACCGATCAGTCGGCAGCTGGAACCAAGACGCTAACAACGACCGCGCGGATTGCACACAGTTGTCGTACAATTGTCATTTGCATACAGCTAAAAGATGTTAACGGAAATTGAGGAGTTGTATAACTTTATCTACCCGCTGGCCATAAGGGCGGGCGAAATATTGCTCGAGGGCTACGAGCGAACAGAGAAGAATGTGGATATTAAGGGTGCATTTTATGATGTGGTCACCGACTATGACAACAAAATCGAGGAGTATCTTATGGGCGAAATATTGGCCAAATACCCGCAGCATAAGTTTATTGGCGAGGAGGAGACGGCCAAGAACAATAATGTGTCCAAGGAGCTGACAGATGTGCCCACCTGGATCATAGATCCCATCGATGGCACCTCCAATTTCATTAAACAGATACCCCACGTATCGGTTTCGATAGGACTCTCCATCAACAAGCAAATTGTGCTGGGCGTTATGAATAATCCAGCCCAGGGCAAGCTCTACACAGCCAAGTTGGGACAAGGAGCCTTCTGCAATGGTAAACCCATTCATGTGAGTAATTGTGAGCGGCTAAGGGATGCCAATGTTGCCTATGAGGTGTCTTTACTGCACGTTCACAAGGTTGCCAACAAGCATATCAAACGCATCTACCATGTGGGATTGCATGCTAGGCGGTAAGTTAGCTAATAATGCCATCTTGAAATGCTTTAATCTAGTTGTTATTCTATGACCAGCATGCTAGCCTACTCCTGTGTAGTGGATGAGCTGTGCATGGTGGCCGCTGGCAATTTGGATGCATTTTATATTGAGGACATGTACCCTTGGGATTGTGCCGCTGGCTCATTACTGGTGCGTGAGGCAGGAGGAGTCCTCACACATCCTTTTGGCGGACCTTTCGACATAATGAAACCGGATTTAATTTGCGCTGGGACCGAAGAGTTGCGAAAAGAAATTGAAAACCTGCTCCGCAAGGCGGACCAAGAACGTTCAGTGGGGGGCGGGGAAGTTTAGAATTTTATAAAAAAAAAAACGTAATCAACAAATATATAAGGAAAAAACAACTAGAAACAAATAAAGCTCGGCAATTAAAATAATTTAAGAGTATGCATACAAAAAGCTCAATTTGGGCTTTAATTGTTATCTCTTTGCTGGGCAGAGCTTTGAATAAAAAGCTCTGCAAACTTTGTAATCAAAATAGTAGATAAATTAACATTTCGCTTAGTTGTTGAACAGACCGCAAGCCTTTCTGTAAGTTTCACTTTACGATCAGCCAAATATTTAAAAATTAATACCTATTTATCTATATTAGCTTTTAAAAATTCTGTAGATATGACCAATATTAGCGACGCAAAGATCAAGGAGTACTACGATGTTGCTCTGGACTTAGTTATCAAATGTGGTCCCATATTTAGGGAGGGCTACAATAAAGCCAATAAAGAGGTTATGGTGAAAGCAGCCTTTTTTGACTTTGTCACCGTCTACGACCGTCAAATTGAAGAAAAGTTAACCGAGGGTCTACTGAAAGCATTCCCTGAATCACTTTTCATAGGTGAGGAAGCATTGGCTGGTACGAAGCAGCTGCCGGAGCTGACTGATGCACCTACATGGATCATTGATCCCATCGATGGCACCACAAATTACATACACAGGCTTCCGCATTGTGGTATTTCGGTTGCTTTGGTCATTGATAAGCAGCTGGTGGTGGGCATTATCTACAACCCAGCGGCAAATGAATTATACTCGACGTGGAGAGGACATGGCGCCTTTCTAAATGGCGAACCCATTAAAGTATCCAGTGCGGTTACGGTTGTTATACCATATGGACACATAAAAACAGGGGTTAATTAACGAATTCTGATATTGCAGATGTCCAGCGCGGTGGTAGGACACGAAATAACGCTGATTAATGTGGCTCCATTGCGTGATAGGTGCCTTAAACGTGCTTATAAACTAGGCTCTGTAGCTGCTGGGTAAGCCTTGATAAAATGAGCAATGATTCACAAACTAAATCGTACAAATGCATGGACAGCACGCGATGCTTAGCAAGTGCTGCCTTATCCCTGGCATATGTAGCAAAGGGCACACTGGATGCGTATCACGTGGACTATCTAAAGCCCTGGGATGTAGCTGCTGGAGTGCTGCTAGTGCGCGAAGCCGGCGGGGTTGTACATAATACAAATGGCAGCGTGTTTAATTTGATGAAGCCAAACCTTGTGGCCGCCGGCACAGAGCCCCTTGCTCAAGAGATCATACAACTAATCGAGCAATCAGCTCAGATTAAGGACTACACATTCACTTAGTTTATAAGCCAATAACTGCACTTACATTGGGCGGCATGCCGTGCGTTTGATAGCCAATTGGCGACATATTCGGTCCAGCTGGTGGCATTTGCATTCCCATATGCGGCGCTGTAAATAAGATAATCAGATATTAAATGTGCTTATAAAAAACTAGCGAATTATGCGCATACTCATGCCCTGATGATGCGGCGGCATATGATGGCCCGGTGGACCCTGTCCGGGCGGTCCATGTTGCATGGGATGACCATATGGTCCAGCTGGATGACCCGGCGGGGGTGGGCCTTGCATGTGCGGTGCACCAGGCGGTGGTCCCTGCGGCGGTCCTTGGGGTGGCTGGTGCGGATAGGGACTATGTGGCGAGGGCGCAGGGCTTTGAGAGGGTGGCGCCATAGGGCTGGGTGCCTGCGGTGGCGGCATCGGACTATTCGCCGGCGAGGGCGAGGCCATTTCGCTGCGTT